CAGCTTAGCGTGGGTCTGCGTTTCAACGGCTGGAGCTTTTACCGCAGTAAGCAGTTTTAGCACCTCTGGTCAGTGCCTTCAAGGAGAAACTAGGCTTTCACTGAGACATCTGTGCGGATCAACACGGACCAACTGGCCCACTGTCCTTATTATTGAAAACCGAAACGTCAAAACGTCTTTTAACCTTATCTGCATTGTTGAGACGAGCAATTACCTGAAATCAATAACTTATGGTTCCAGGAGATCCAAAAACTGTTCTGGACTTCAGAGCTTTAAGGGACTGATGAAGCTGGAAATACATGGCCGAGCATCCACGACATTTCACACCCAGGTGTAGTAGGTTGAGTTGCTCGTGAGCAGTCGTATAGCCACTAAGTTGAAGTTCATCAATGTTTTGCGAAGGTTTGTGAAATGTGCTACCTTGTTGTGTTCTCTCTTGGCCTCTTGCTCATAAGTATCCCACATTAAGAATAATCAATTATCGGCCTCTGCTCCTGTATGGTTTGCACAAGGATAATTCCCAAACTGTTGAGCTCAATGGAGAATTCCTAAACTGTCGGGCCCATTCTTTTTTTACTTACCGGCTTTTTCACTCTGACGACTTTTCCTAATCCAGATAATAGAGCTCCGCATCCATGTATGGCTAAACTTCTGACGTTTTTCGTAATAAGCTGACAATGCAGCCGATCCAGACCGAGCCACTCCGGACATGCAAAGCAGAAACAGGGTTTCCACACTGAGAAACTGGTTTTTGGCAGCAGGGTGTCACAGATGCTGGTTTCCGATTTTCCACTGGCATATGACCATCATCAAGAGAATGAAACGGGCAGGTTACAGCGTATATGCTTGACCGTGAAGTGGGGGATCTCTGTGCACCTCTCAAAGCTGCCATTCCGGAGAAAAGCTATCCCGAGAATGGCCAAAGCTTGGAATGATCTCTTCACAACATCCAGCCAAGGTACAATTCACCTACTCTCTGGCTTGTACGAATATTCTCGGACAACTGACTTCAGTGAGTGACCTTTCCATAAGCCGTTCCTTTAAAAGCTGCTTTATCCTATACAGTCAACTCTGGCAATGGTTCAGTCGCTTGCGACCGACGACCGAGCAGCCTTGGGCTGTATAATTTCGGCGATACCGAAGCCTCCAAAGATAAGGCGAACACTCACTGTGTTGGCTTCATTGTCTTGTACGCAAATGGTCCACATGAATGGACCAAGCATAGCAACGTGATAGACCAAGAAGGCTGTGGCATCACCGTTGTCTCAGAACTGTGGTTTTCTTCTGATATCAGTGACAGCTAAAGACATCTACAAGGATTCCTTCGTTTTAGGAGTAACAGACTAGCACGCATGTGTGGCGGTGTCATCCATTACGCTGAGAATACCTCAACCTCAGGGGACACAGGGGCGGTATCACACAACAGTGACATGCGCGAAATGCTGCACCACTGGCTGAAGTGCAAGGAACAAGATTTATCCTGATCGTGGTCCATTGAGGCCCTCAATATAGGATGGAATTCCTGCAGAATAAGATGACCCTCTAAACAGTTAACTGCTAGTGTCTAATTGTAGGGGGCTTCGACTCGCTACCACTCGACTTGGATGGACTAGAAACGGACGTACCATGTGATTTGTTTGGCCAAAATCTGATGGAAACGTCAATTGCTTTAACCCTTGTACAGCACGCTAAGTCAGCAATCCAATCCAATCTGCATAAAGCTCCGAATTCGGTCTTTTCTCATACATATGACCCAGGCGTTATCCGGTGCCTTGCAGCCCTTAGTGAAAGTGGACATAGTGTGCCTCGCTCCAGATTCACAACAACTGCCTTAGGCCAGACCAGTGCCCCTGCCAGGACCAATTTGCGGGGAGCAAATATGGCAACTGCTAACTCGGCAGCCTCTCCGGGGGACTGAACAATAAATTCAGAAGCTTCAGTTGATGTTATGTGGAGCTGTTTTAAGCAGCCATGTGCACTAGTGACTTAACCGCTTGGTCCGTGAGTAGCCCCAAGGGGATGGAAACCTGTCCCCCTGGACAACCCACGAAATCGGAAGGTTTCTGCGAAGCAAGAAAAGCCTGTTTGAGTTCGTCCACTCACTGTGATATTCCTGACATTAAAAAGCCTTACAAGAAGCCCTAGACAGATGTATCACTGCTCTTCATTGGCCCCGAATATGCTTTGCAGTAAGTCTCGCAATAGCTGCGCTGCAACACCTGGAGTAGTCGCCTTCCTATTTCAACTATAGGAATAGAGATTATCGTGGTGTTTCAGTCATAATCGGAGTGAAGGAGACTAAATAGTCAACCGGAAATGACAAGGCAGAACAAAAGTCAACGCCAGAAACCTCACACGAACACTAATTCAACAGAATAAACTCTGTAGAAATCGGCTGCAACGATAGATTTGGGGCGCCAGATACTCCAAATGAGAGATGGGGGATGGGTGAGCTGCTCCCAAGGCTGCAAAGGAAGCATTCATTCCAAACAGTTGGTCTATTTGGACTGTGCCTCAGTGAAGGTACAAAGACTTGTGACTACGGGGAAGCCATTGTCGCACCTATTTACAAGGCGGGCTCTAGGCATCGCGCAACAAATTAAGGACCGATAAATTTTACTAGCACTATAGCCGAAGTCCTAGAGGGAGTAGTCAGGGAAGCCATTACCGTCCGCTTAGAACGGCATTCTCATGTGCAACCTGGCTTCCACTGAAGTTCTTCCCGCTTGATGAACCTTTTCGCAGTCAGAGAAGGTTAAGTTGAGCTCAAGGACGACAGGATAACTGTAGCTGTCCTGTCCATAGACTTTGCAAGGTGTCCCGTGACGCGCCTGCTTTCAGATTGTGGATGTGGTGTCGGCATCAAGAAATGACCTTTTAAAAGACCATCAGTGTGTGGATCTGCACTCGATGATTTTCTTGAGAACATCACTGGCATTTTATCAGAATTAAAAAGCAGATTGACAGTAGACCGTAAAGGGGGGAAGATGGAGGGCTCAAAAACAGTGCCTAAGCACGAGGGTTATGGGGTTAGAAAATGGACCGGTGGAAGAAGTGTCGGAGTCACTCGACAGCAGCAAGGGGCTGGTTTGACGAAGGAGACGACGCACCTTAGTAGTGCGGTAACATCAGCTGTCCTACAATCCCTCACTAGGATTCTGTCATCGGCAGATGAGGCTCAAAACGATACGGTCATGCCAATTAAGGATCCTCAAGATGGGGAGTGGGTGTCCATTGCACGAAATAAGAACGGTCTAGTTTCGGCTCCAGTCAAACCCATCGGGTCTAGGAAGGTGAGAAACGCGGGGGGCAAACCCAACCGGGGTCATTCGGAAACTAGGAAGGCTAAACATGGGACCGACTGATAGCAATAATGAAGCAGCCGAGCCCATGGCCGACCAGTGCCTGCAAATCTTTTCGTCGTCGTCCGCCCACTCAGGAGCTTACGAATACCCCACTAACGAATTAGGACTCTCATCCGCCTGCGTGAGCGTTGAGCCCGTACAGCGGAAACTCCCACGGCTCACCGAAGACACCTCTCCGGGACCAGATAAAATCCATCCAGCGATGCTGCGGGAGGGAGTATCAGTCCTGTCCAAACCTTTAAGTAAGTCACTTAAGAACTCCGAGTTAGGGGAGAGCGCCTGACCCTTAGAAGCTGGGCCACATAACACCGGTCTTCAAAGAGGGTCAAAGAAGAAATCCAAAGAAATACAGACCGGTGACACTTCTATCCATTCCTCCCGAAGTAATGGAATCGTTAATATACGATGGAGGACTACCTCACAAAGATAAATTTCTTTGCGCACCAGCAACATGGATTTCGAAAAGGGTACTCCTGCATTACCAGTTTGCCCACTGTAGGAGATAGATTGACTACCACTGTTGGCCGTCGAGGACGAATTAATGTTATCTACTTAGACTTTGCTAAAGCGTTTGATCGTGTGAATCACAACTGCTTAATTGACAAATTTAAATTAATCGGGATTCGACCGCCACTCACTGACCAGTTGTCCTCATACCTACGGGGCTGTTCATTTTGAGTGGAGAGAAATTAAAAGTGGAGACGACAGTGTTTCTCTACAGGAAGACCTAACTCAGCTTCATAACTGGGCAGTCAACAAAAGGCTTGCGTTTAATCCTGGGAAATGCAAAGTGATAGACGCGAAACAAGATTCATTTCATGTATGTAGCCTCAGTGACATGGAACCTGAAGTGCCACTGGTGGAGAAGGATTTGGGTGTCTTAATTCCTCAGAAATTAAAGTCCTTTGTCAACTGCAACAGAAACGTAGTTCGTGGGAACTTGGCAGTACCAACTCTAAGACGAATCTTCGAACAATTCGATCGTAGGTGCTCTCGTTCAAATTTTCAACAGCTTCACACGGTCTTACCTGGGGTTCAGGACCATCGTCTTTCACCCTTCTCTCTAGAAGGACAAAATAAGCTCGGAGCGCATCCACAGGGTTTCAACAACACGTGTTGGAGGACTTAGGTCGAAAACATACGGAGAACGACTCGCTGCACTGGATCTGTGTCTTTTGTAATACAGGAGGCCGAGAGAAGACCTGATAATGACTCACAACATTCTCAGAACTCCTGACCACCCACTCCACCACTTACTGAATCTTAGCTGTCGCACTGATCTTAGAGAACACGCACAGAAACTAAGCCTGGAACATAGCAGGTTAGATGCCAGGGACATTTTCTATTCCCTTAGAGTTGTTAAACCCTTGAACGCTATTCCTGAAGATGTGATTCAGGCTACTTCGTCTGAATCCTTTAAACGCCGACTAGATACCCACTTGACGTGTGTCTAGGATCTGCTCAGAACTATTTGGATTTTCACATTTTAGCCCCACTTTTTCCTCTTTCTTTACCTGTACACAGGTTAAAAACCAAAAGGTTAGCGACCCACGGATTGTAGACGCCGAAGCCACTTAAGCGAAAGCTTCTATGCCGCCAACAACCGTTTGAATTATTTGAAACATCGTTCCCAAACTCTACAATACGAAGTTTGAAGGTCATGGCGCTGGCGTATGTTTAGTTTGACAGGTGTTGAGATTTCGCTGTTAAGATGTGCGTTTCTTGTGAAATCTATGTTCAGCCTGCTTATTGTACGTCACCATTCTCACTAATTATGAATTAAATTCAGATTATCAGCAGTGTTTTCCCGGACCATGACGCTGACGCCTTCAAACCCCCACAGGAACCCTACCTCGGTTGGGCTGATAAGGTTATCCGAGTCTGTTTTCAAGGATTTTGCAAGTGGGATTCTGTGTATTTCACTTTCATAGCAGAACATGGTTACATATATGAACAAAGCCTAGCTTTTTTCCCTGGTTTTCCAATGTTGTCAGGCCTATTAGGTCGTATACTTACTCTAGTTTGTTTGAATTCATTAAGTTTAGCTTCTGCAGTGCTCTTATGCGGGTTTCTACTGAACTTCGTCCTCTGTCTGTTAGCTACTATCTGTTTTTACCGTTTGGGAGTTTCAGTTTTGGGTTCTTCAAAGATAAGCTTTCTTTCCGCACTGCTGTTTTGTTGGAATCCTGCGGTGGTATTTTTTTCCTCACTTTATTCGGAATCATTGTTTTTCTTCCTCACGGTTTTTGGTTTGTACTTGTTGACTGTTAACAGAACTCTATGGTCTTCCTTGTTATTTGCATCTTCCATTTCGTGTAGAAGTAATGGGTTGTTAAACATAGGTTATTTGGGTTATTTTATGCTTGTAAATTCAAACCTTAGGTCTCTTATATGGGTAGAAAAGGTTAGTAATATAAGATCTTTACTGTCTTTCGTGTTCTTGTCTATCAAGTGGTGGGTCAATCTATTTGTTTTTCTCACACCACGTTTCATTCTGCTTTGTCTATGTGCGCTTCCATTTTTGTTGTACCAGACTTACGGGTATTTCTTGTATTGTGCTTACGACAAGCCATTTAATCTTCTAGTCCCGTCAGAAATTTCTATGCCATTACTTCACTTTGGCCTGGATCACGGTTTTGTCATGCCTTTGGGTGCCAAAAATGTATCTACTTCTTCCAGCATACCAGCATGGTGCTCGTCCATGCCTCCATTTTCCTATACCTACATACAGGAAAATAAATGGAACGTAGGATTGTGGAGTTACTATCAACTACGTCAAATACCAAACTTCATTTTAGCCATGCCTGTGGTTATTTTGTGTTTCGTATGTTCAGTCTTGTTTTACAGACGAGCTCCAAGTGCATACAGAACACTTGGACTGTATGCTGAATGTGAAATGAATCGTAATATGGTACCCTACGTATTTCATATGCTTTTTCTATGTGCCTACGGAGTTCTTCACATAAATGTCCAAGTAAGCGTTTTTGATTATTGGATTGTTTTAATGGTGTTTTACATAGTAGCAACAATCAACATTGCTTTTTCAGCGTTAGCTTTAGTTGTCTGTTGAATATTGCCCCATGGTTCATGAACTTATACAGCCTGTATTAACATAATATTCGATTCAACAACCTTCAGACTCACCCTTAATAGGTCCTAAGCATTTCCCTAACGATTAGAAAGTGCAGCTTCTAATGAGTCTAAATTCTTAGTAGATGGTGTAATTGGCTTTACGATGTGGCGTTTGTTGCTCCATGAAAGTTAATTACTTGTAAAGGTCCGATCAATCATCAGCAAATTCTAGTTCATGTCTGATGTGAAAAGTTAGGATAAAGTGCTCAAGTGTAAAACACTCCACTGAATGATATGAAACGTACTTCAAACAACTGAATACGATGACGTGTTTTATGGCTAGTTAATTTAGCGTGGATATGAGAAGAGTGGTTAGTTCAAATCCTAAGGATTGAGTTCGGATACTACCTTAGCTACATTATTTTCCTTTATAAATCACGCAGTGAAAAAGTACTATTTACTAATGGCAATTTCAAGCAGAATTTTTAATCATGATTATATAATGCGGCCTCGGAACCATAATTCATTAGTATATGTAAATTATCAGTTTGATCTACTACACCGGTGTCCTGTTGAAAATTTGTCGACCATTGCTCTTGGTTATCTTCAGCTTCGGATATCCTCATGGTGCATTACATTCGGAAGATCCGTTGTACTTTCTGGAACTGGGAGTAGTTTTGATTGTGTTAATCACTTACATATACTCTTTACTTGAGATTTTAGCGTAATATATGTGCTTGATGAGGCTTTGGACATTGTTGGTGGTAATTTTTCTGAATTGACTTCATCTTAATTCTATTCATAGAAGATGCTTTGACTTCATAAAAACTTTTTTCCATGGTCGGACGGGATTGGAGTCTATTTCATATTTTTACTGGAATAAAGCTGGTGGTTTATAAGGGGAGCCGATATTACGTATCCATTTGAACTGGGATGGTTAGAGCGAGTTTGGAATTTCCGGTCCTGTATCTGTAGGGCGTATATAGATCCTCCTAATGCGTTTCTTAGTTAGTACAGATCGTTTATAAGTTTAAATATTCATCCTGGTGTCGTATCATATTGGATTTATTAGCATGTAGTGTGATAAGTTGGCATACCTCTCAACAGCTGAAAGATGTTCGACGAACAAAAGAGATAACTTGACTACATAAGAAAAGTGAGTAATCGAAGAGTAGGGGATGTAACAGTTTGTTGCCTATAATTTGCAGTATTTAATAATCTTCGTTATCTACTTTACGCCATATCGTTGATGGCCATTAGCTTCTAGAAGTTCGGGAATAATGACCAAAATATCATGCTTCTACTCATTTTTGAAATCGATCCTAAGCCATGCTCCCTAGAGTCTCCAAATGTTGGTTTCCACCGTTACATAGATCTCAACCGAAAGCTCTACATTTCCATACGCGAACTAGACCAACAGTCAAAGACTTCAGGAACCCATGTTAGGCTTTAGTCAGGTCACCGCCAACCTTTCTCTAAACTGAAGTTACTTCAGCCAACATTTTGTATCGAGGTAGATGGTGACTAGGCATGCGTAACACATGCCCCAGCCACCTGAGTTCATAAAAGTTCGAAAACCCATCAAGTGACTTTCCTTTTCTATCCGAAACTCCACACCTGACTTCTACGCTACTGACATGACGGCATCACAACATGTGGTATGTGATGCGAAGACAGCAACGGTCAGACGTCCATGTGTTTGAACAGAGCGAACTGTATTGTAATTGTAGTGCACTCGACACTTAATAGGCAATCCTATTTCACTACAGGTTCAGAAATAGTGTAGGTTGGCGAAGTCCAAGGTAGCCTTTTGCATCTGTTCAGAAATATAATCGTTCACTGACTCATCAGGACTGGTTTGACTTCCTAATTAAGTAGAGCGGTCAACGTGCTCAACCACTTCATCCCTGCTGTTGAACACTGCACTACTGAAGACTAGTCCTCGTGCAGAAATTTGCATTTGGGTGGTGAGAAACATTCTCGACATTCTCAAGTTATTACTCAAGGTGTCTAGTAGACTCCGCGCTTTGTCAACATTTCCACTTGACAGGTCTAGGTAATTTGTGTACTCCAGTTCGATTAAGGATTCTCTTGTGAGATGAATCCCTATAAAGTCGGACGACGTGAGTGATGATTCCATAAATACATCTATGATGAAGTTAAATAGGATTGTTGAGAGTGGGCCTCCTTCATGGACACCACTCGACATTCACAATCAATCGTAGGCCCTAACACTCACCGATGTTCGAATACAGAGCCTCCAACAGAGTGATGTGTATGTGGCTGATACCCCTTTCAGTGAGAAACATTGCCGTGAGATCTCTCGGTCCACAGAGTCGAATGCCACCTTCACGTCGGGAAATACAGCTAGTATATGGTGTTAGTAAGCGTGCCTGTGTTCGAAAACCTGGTGGTGGTTGGGGAATATTTGGTTGACACACCTATTTTCAAGTGGGATAAAACCCGCCTGGTTTTCTCGAGCTTGCTGTTCCAGAGCTTCACTTAGGTTCTTAATGATTACAGAATTTTGGACACTGTTCATGAGACTGATTCCCTTGTGGTCATTACAACAAGAACTTTTGCCTTTCTTGAAGACTGGAACTTCCAGTGATTGAGACTAGTCATAGAGGATCGTATCTAATTCACAAACTAGCTAACGTGTCAGTTAACCTGATCAATAATCCACGATCACCGCCATGTACTAATTTATCCGACCCTGCTGCCCTTCCTAGTTTCAGCTTACAGCCTTCTCCACTTCTGCACCAGTTGGAGTGTCTACCTCAGTGTTTCACTGACGATCCAAATGGATAGCTTAAACTGTTGAACTATTTTCAGAGTGTTCTTGCCATCATTCCAGTGGTTTTCTCTGGCAGTGGGTCCCAGACCCATCTTTCTCTGCAATGGTCTCGCAAACCAGTGACCTGGTCCCCAGTTTTCTTGATTAGTGTAAATAACTGTCCAGTGTTGTCTACGGCTGTAGCCTTTCCAACCTCTTTAGCTTTCAATGTACACCACTGCACGTGGTCATTACATGGGCTTACTGTCAATTCGCTTTTGAGTTAGTTCCATTCCTCATTGTGCTCAGTGCCTGAAGCAATGTGTTCGCGCTCATTCCTTAGTTGAGAAAAAGCCGTTGAGATTCACTGGTGCTTTCTAACCAGTTTCTGAAAGTCAGTTACACTCCGTAACGTCGGTTTTCAACAGACTGCAGATGGCACCAAGCTTCTTCTCGATGGCTCATGCTGTTGTGTCCCGAAAATTCTCTAGTTAGTTTCCAGCTGAAAGCAGCCTCAGTATTTTTAACGTCAAGCTGCGCTTGGATTGGTCTTGTTGCTATAGTTTCTCCACGTCCATCTAGGAGCAGACATACGTTTGCTCGAAACGAAGTGTGATTGCTGTCTAAACTCACGCTGCAGAAGAAATTGCAATCTTTCACCGACCTTCTCCAGCAATTACTGACAACAATCAAGTCTGTCCATGTCCACCACGGAGTTGATGTTGATAGGTGCCAAGACAGACAGTCTCTCTCTGTGTCGGAATTTTGTGCTGGCCAGAAATAGGTGGTTATCTGAGTATATTTGTAGCAGGCGATCGCAATTACCTGTTTGTTTAGCTGGCATTCTGAAACTGCCAACTGGGTGCCTATCTGCTTGACATGGTTTACACATTTGTGTATTAAAATCACCTGCTACGGCAGTCACATCTATGCGTTTGGATTTCAGTAGGAGGCTAAACATTTTTTTGCGGAACTCGGTTGGAACGGAGATTGCAAGAGGGATAATGGCTAGTTTCACTGTTCTTTTCAGTCTTCACTATTCCGTCCAGTGGAATTGTTTACAGAAGACTTTCAGCTGGGATCCAGTCGAGCAGAGCACTTCCTGCCTTGGCGCTTAATATTGTATCTATGAATTCAAGACCACGAGAGCGAGATACCGAGTCTTCAGAAACTTGGAGAGTGATTTTTGTAAATTTCCCATACTGCCCGGGTGAGGTCAGGTGAAAAACTTCTCTTTGATACCGTATGCGTATCTCCTGAAAATTGCTTACCAACATGGTCTGAAATGCTGAAGTATCCGCTAAAGGGGTTTATTGGCCAATATAACGAAAGGTGCGGATGTTGGAAAACCAAATATGTGGTTTGGACTGTGGTTCCAAGAGACCAAGAATGTTTGTTATTCTGTGAACGGGTTTGTTATCGAGAATTGCAGGGCTCTGAGGAATTTAAGAAGATGCAAGAATATTGACTGGGGCCGTGAGTAAAAATTAGAGGGCAAAGATGTGTAAAATTGAAAATGATCAGAGGGAGCTTGGTAGCTGACAGAGTTATGAGGATGGTTGACAATTTCCAGCTGTCCCCCTTGTGGAAGGTTACTTCTTCTTGAAGAACTTGAAGAAATTGATTAACACTAGTACTTTGTTACTCCAAAACCTAGGAAACATCTTGAATACTGTCACATCGCCTTTTTACGGTTTACAGTTTATGGTTTAGATCCCAATAATTTGTATCCAAATTGAAAACCTATAACGCCAGCATGAGGAGCGTGGTCTTGATGAGATCGACCTCTCGCAACCCACATGCCTTCCTATGGGGAAGGTAGCAGCAGTATGTTACTGTTTGTCAACCACAAGAAACACATGACTGCTGTCACCCTCTTACCACACAACATTCACTGCGACTCCGTATTTAGACCACATTAAAGTGTAGCAACTTACACTATAACGGTAACTGCTTTTTGTCTTCAGTTAACCAAAAGATCTCCACGGTATGGTTAAGATGTCAAGGGGACAAGTATCCTACCAGCGCAATTCGTTTGGTCGTTCATACGCTAGGCCGGTTACCAACCACCTCAAGGTAGTAACTGTTGGTTATGCATTACTAGGGCTTTGGCATTTCTGAATTGATTTCATGATTATGGTGGAAGTGTGCTATGCATATTCTACAGTAGTCAATTTTCTGGTCTGTTTTTGCACCAGTTGCATTTTAGTTAAAGTTGTCGTCGACTGAAAATTACTGTTGTCTCCGAAAGTGAGATTTTCATCACTGCGCATTCTCATGGCTATCTTTTATGTTTAAATAAATCATAGTGTTGTGGTCAATAAATGGTGTTTTTGGAAATGAGCTCAAGTTTACTACAATCTGCCCAACTTGGAAATCAAACGGTGTGCTCACTCGCTAACTAATCTGTCGTTATGGGTTCTCATTTTGATATTCACCAACTCGATTGTTAGTGTAAATTTTCGATTGGATTCTGTTGGTTGAGATCGTTGATGACAGCCCCACCACTACTTGTAGTTACACGCATTTTCTAGAACTGACCTCAAAACGTTTTCTCGCAGATCACATACGGAGGCTATGATTGGTAACAGCAGTAATCTGAGGCTTACTTATTCAATTTAAAGTTTCAGTCTTCATACCTAATATAAGAGTAGGTCTCAGGATTATAGTAGAATGTATTACGGAAGTAGCGTATGACCGACTGACTGACAAAATCAACGTAGAACCTCGCACACAGGTGCATCACCTCAGGTTGCCACACTTCACAGTAGTATACAAAGAACAGAAAAGAAAAAGAGTGATATCAAAGAAGAGGAAATAAAAAACCCGAAGGTTAGTGCAAACATTCTAGCTTTAGAAGATGTCAAGTGGTAAATACATCTGGGCCATTGTGCTCGATTTTCAGCCATGTCACCAAGAGTTCTGAACCACTGATTCCTTTCATCCCGGAGACCCCAGCCAGGTAGTCTACTTCTCCCAATACGGTCCAGACCGACAGTCAGAGACTTCATTGACTGGTGCCACGTCTTTGTCTGTTCACCCAGAAGCCCCCTCCAACCTAATCCGACTTCCTCTAGCATGGCAGGTCGAGGTGGATGGTGGATCGACATGTGCAACAGATGTCCAGGCTACCTCAGCCAATAAAAGTCCATAATCTCATCAATGGAATTGCCTGTCTTGCCTGATACTCTTCGTCCGACCCTAACATTGGTCACACAATACTTCAACCAAACGCAAGCAATATTACGAAGACGTCTGAGATCAATACCTTGTAATCGCTACATTTCTCCTGCTTTCAACGCCCATGTCTGACAACTGTAAAACATGACAAGATGGACTGCAACGCATTATACTAGTCCTTTGACTAGTAGTTGGGTATCTTGTTGGTTGGGGCCACAAATGACGCAAGTTGGCAAATGCCAAACGCGGCTTCTGTATTCGAGCTGAGTAATGTACACTGGTCAAACAGCGAATTTTCGCATCTGTGGGGAAGCTGTTTATTGTTCAGTTAAAAAATAAATTGATCAATGACCTACTAAGCACTATTCATCGTATATGTGCGTGGAGTTAGTATCAGGCAAACAACAGCATGGACTGCCATGTGGAACTATACTTGTTCAATTTGTTATACTTCACACCAATAGAATTATAAGGATAGAGAAAATGATCGGATGTATAAGTGAGGTCTAATAAGTTTGGACTTTTCAAAGTGACATGGGCTGAATACATTTGAAGAAAACTAAATGTCACGACTGAGCATACGATAGACTGTGGCTTTCAAAATTGAAGGTAAATTTGATTGTATCTTCATTATTTTGGCATTTGTATTTCCCAGTGTATATCATTTACCTAATGCCCAAATTTTTTCAAACTATCAAATCCCAACTTGGTTTGGATATCTATAAATCAATTGTGTCTTATTATCACAAATCTTGAAGGTAAGGGTTTCAAACTGTCCATCACGGCTAAGGCTAACTGAAAAAGCAGAAGTACGTCATGAAAGCTTTTGATTGGTATCACGCGAAGTAGTATCCCTTCGAAAACCTATTGACAGGTAATCCAGAGTTTGTCACGTGATTTGGTTTTTATTCTTTGTATGCAGTAGAAATGGTTCTAGTCATACAGAACTACCATGTCATATTTTGCACGGACATTTAGTCTTATTGCCTGAATAGCTTTGGTTGCAAACGTGTGAACCGGTGGGATCAACAATCTAACGTATGTATAGTGGTTCAGTTAGCTTGTTAGTCGGTTACAGATAAATGGTGAACCATGTAGTGTCAGCGGCTGTTAAGTATTTAAATGTTGTGAAAGTGTATGAAGTGGCATCGAGTCGCAAAGCAATAAAAAGACATTTAGGATGTCGATTGAAGCGGATCAGCCCACCTTCTCGATGACGGTATTTAGCCACTCTACCGCAGGTCCTAGGTTACAGGGCTTCAATCAGTAAAGTGATAATTTTCTGTGAGATGTAGACTGAAAGTAAGTAACCTCACTAATCGATGCAATTCCCTGAAACAGGGTTAACAGTTGTTGATATTGCATTTACTATGTAATCATGTCTACCTGAAGCCAATTTTACTACTGACCAGGTTAATGACAACTTCCTTCTTAATCATTTTGTCTCTAAATTCCACAGGTACTAACACGTATGATCTTTTCATCCTGTCCAATTGTATACTGGTTTTGTGCTTACCTTCTACGTGAAGCCATCCCAAATTTTGAACAGTTGATGAAGCTAGGTGTTCCATATTCGAAGACAAAATGTGCATTGTATTATGATTTAGTAAACATTTGTAGAACTATGAATCCTTTTCAGTATCGTTTATTGAAACATCGTGCTGTATTGTGTTATTTTGTCGGGTACGCTATTATTGGTTGCATTATGCATCCTAATTTTTTACCGTGGACATAGTTTAGTTTTTGTTTTCAATAATTTTGACTACTGTGATAGACGGTTTGTCATACAGCTGTTTTCTTTCTCGTCAACTTTTATCTTAATTTTCTTCTGTACATTGTTGAGGCGCTAAAATTCATTTGCTTGTCTCTATTTGCTCTAAGTAATTTGTAGAGAACGTAATTGCATTTTTATTTACATTTTTGGAAGTTAAACTTACATTCAGCATAGTCTTTGTTTAAAACAAGTATTTGTTTATGTTATATACACTTCCCAATAATAGTTTGAATATACTTACTTTCTATGACACTGGTGAGCCCGTATTTTAGTTTAACGTACGCTGCTACTTCATATATTCTCGTCCATCTTTTTCTACTTCATTGTACTAGCCATTTTGCAATGAGTTCTCTTAGTCACTTTTTTTTTACAATGAATTAATCGACTTTAATGAGAAAGAGGCCCTCAATCTAGGTCATTGGTGATTTACGTTTACCATCATATGGACCCAATATCCCTCGAATTCGGTTCACGCGCATCGAGGCATTGTTTATAGCGAGGTGCATAAAATCTTAAGCGTTTAGGTATGCGTATGTTGTTGCAGCATTACTAACAGAGGTTGCTACAGAGGTCAGGGACCTAAAAGACCATGTCCTAGAGGAGTCTCTTTACGACAAATTCGAGGCCTCGGTGACACAAAGAACTTTGGTATCAGACGAGAAGTGGTTATAACAGTTATGTGATCCTGACGTAACCATACCATAAAGATCTTTTGGTTAACTGAAGACAAAAAGCAGTTACCGTTATAGTGTAAGTTGCTACACTTTAATGTGGTCTAAATACGGAGTCGCAGTGAATGTTGTGTGGTAAGAGGGTGACAGCAGTCATGTGTTTCTTGTGGTTGACAAACAGTAACATACTGCTGCTACCTTCCCCATAGGAAGGCATGTGGGTTGCGAGAGGTCGATCTCATCAAGACCACGCTCCTCATGCTGGCGTTATAGGTTTTCAATTTGGATACAAATTATTGGGATCTAAACCATAAACTGTAAACCGTAAAAAGGCGATGTGACAGTATTCAAGATGTTTCCTAGGTTTTGGAGTAACAAAGTACTAGTGTTAATCAATTTCTTCAAGTCCTTCAAGAAGAAGTAACCTTCCACAAGGGAGCAGCGGGGAACTATCAACGACCGTCACAGTTCTATCAGCACTCAAAATTTCTACAAGTTCTATCCCATGTTTTGTATTTGTACAGTTTACAACGCTGTTTGAGAGGCGAGAAGGTTCATTTTGCCAAACTTACGTGTTGTTTAGCACGAATAGGGTTTTGGTGGAACTATTTTTCAGTGTAGTAGAAAACAGTCTATGCAGTTTGATATTTAAACATAATTCTGTGTGTAATTAAGAAGTAGTCTGTCTTCTATGTAAACCGAAACATTTCCAAAAATGTTGACTGTCTTGCACAAATTAATAATTCTGTTATTTCGTGACATTTATAATTGTTCAGTCGTTTCATGGCGTAAAGGAAAATTTCTGAACTGTTCGGAGAGGTATCATTTTAAAATAAGCGTTATAAGATAAGGCGAGAAAAAAAATTGAGTTGATTATGAATTTTTGTGATATCTAATGTACTCTAAACACAAATCTCTATTGATTCTCTGATTCAGTTAGCTTTTTGAAAGCTGAGAAAAACTGAATTACTTACAAGGTTTGTAAGTGGATGCAGTGTTTTTCAGCTGTTAGGTATTTGTGAATCTTCACTGGATTTGTTTACTTCCTTGGAGCTGGTGAATTATTTTCACTGTTTCAGTGTTATGATTTCGCAAAAAAAAATACATCAGTTAATATGTTGCACCATTGGGGGGGTGGTATGATTGATTGGTCAGTGATCTAAGTTGCCAAAGCGCATGAAGATAAGAAGCAAGCAGACGAAAGACGTAAATAACTATCATCAAAAGTTGTGGGCTAAGTAATGAAAAGAAGAGAGGATACAACAAATAAGGAAATGTGATACAAACCTTAAGATAAAGTTAAGGCCTGAATACGTCTGCACCACTGATATCGTTACACGGTAGACGCCAACTTTTAAGTTTCTATTTGTCTACAGTGTTCATATCACCATTGGGAAACTTCGTGAAGTGATGTCGTATTTTAGTCTGACCACGTCTCTTTACTGGACGAGGTATATGACACTTAAGTTCTTTAAGCAAACTTTTTAATTGTAGCAAAAAACTTATTCATGAATAGACAGTGACAATTTTAGCTATATATCGTAAAGAAGGGAGAGGATACTTCAACGAAGAAAAGGTTTCCTTTTCGATGAGATTGTTCACTGAAGCTGTATAATCATATTCATGATTACTGGGAACAAGTATTAGTGGGTCGGGATTGCACCATTAACGTGTAACTACAGATGACAGAAATTGAGTGTAAGTAGATAAGAAAGACGCAAAACGTAATCAGTCCGATGAGAATAAGTGTGAAGTATGATAAGCGTCTATCCGACAAATGAAATGATCTCTAAAGAGGACCATCTTGGCTCCTCGCAAAACATCTGGAAAGTGAAATTTAGATTGACTTTAGAGACCACCGTAGCAACTGCAGAAATGACCAACCACGCATCGGTATTTCACTTGGTAAAGTATTTTTTTTCATAAAGTAAAGGAATGTAAATGACTGTATCATCAGTTGCTAGGGTGATCTTTAAAGTCACCGGAAATTTAGAGTTTTCAGATACAAACGTAAATGTAAATAAGTGCAATCAGCTGTTAGATTTTTTAAATATGGTTTACAGACCACTATTTATCTTAAATGAATACATCCATCTATTTTGTAGATGACACCCTCCAGTCGTTCGGTCTATTACGGTGTTCTTTAAGTTTATCATGAAGCGGTTTACAAGCAGACGAAAAAGAGGTAACATTATTACTACTCCAAAATTATATTTATTAAAATCATTTACTATTGAATTACAAATAGAATGCAGAAAGGACAATTTTAAATTTTCCAGAAAACCATGCTCAAGGTTGTTAGCCTTTATAAAGTCATATAGAAAAAAAGGCTGTATATGTGTGGTCATTGAATACAAATTGTAGAGGTGTACTCAAATTATATTCAGTATTATAACGGAATTCAGTTAGCTGTTTTCTACAGTCTCCAGAAAGACTAAAAGTTTGACAACAGAACCCAGTCTGAGAAAATGAAAGAGGTGTGCAGATTTTTGATGCTGAAATAACAAATAGAGGAATATTAAAATAACAATATTAGTCAGCAGGTGCTGCTTAAAGTCTTCTAAAGTTTATATAGGTGTAAAACTTGGGCACTGTGGTAAAATCTAATTCCATATTAGATTTGTTTATTTGATTTATAACACATAGTGACCTAGTATTATTTAGTTGATGACGTTTCGAGCATAAATTATTATTGCTCATAATCTTAGTTTGTTTTAACCTGTACATATTCATGCATAGTCCGTCACCACTTTGTTTCTCCACTATTCTGATTATCAATTACATCCATAGAATCCTTACTTTAGCTACAAATAGCTTTTAAACATTATCCTCAAAATAACCTTAAACTATAAACTGATAAATGCAGTGATTATATATTATTATCTAAACATGTTTTCTGTTATCAGCACTTGAAGGCGAGGTACAGACTAGTGACGTACTCATGCGTATCAGTTTGTGTAAGGCTGATCGTGTATTAGTAACAACACAACGAAACTTGCCTTTCGATATACTTTACCGATTTGCGTAATCAAGTTGTTATTGATTACCTGAGACACGTTGTTCATGTGAATGGATTAGTCAGTTATATCAACATGCCCATTGAAGTTCATACCAAGTATTCATATGTATATGACGAATAAATGTATCAGTAAGATCTCACTGGTTACCTTTGTACATATATAACTGTGATGGTTATTGGACTCTTCAAGATGCGTCTATTTCTGTAATGATTATGGTTGACACTTGTTTGAATTCTTGAAACCTAAACAAAAATTCATTCGAATCGATGAAAATAAGTTCTTAAAACAGACATCGCAGCAGACAGCTGCGATTGTCGAAAATACTGAAGAAAATGAGAGATGAGTCATTTATTAGCAAAGAACTATATGAACAACTTCGCCCAGCAGGTTCTACGATCAGCCGTTTATACGGTCTTCCCAAAATGCACAAAGAAAGCGTTCCACTCCGTCCAATACTACAAATGATAAACTCTCTATGTCATTTAATCTCGAAATGGCTTGTGGAAATACTTGAGCCTGTAAAGAAGAGGCTATTGAACCACAGTCTCCGTGACATTTAATTCTGTTGATTCGATAAAAAAAGTCAATTTGGTAAAAGAATGCTTCCGTTGAACATCGCATCCCTCTTCATAAATGTCCCACTGACAGAAACCATCTGCTTCCTATGTGAATTCGTTCAATATTATAGCATAAATGTTGATATTCCAATTCCCTTCCTAAAGGAGCTTCTCCTTTGATCACAGATTTAATAATGAAATTTACAGGCAGATGGTGTGGCAATGGGTTCTCCACTACTACCTGTCCTAGCTGGCTGCATTATGGCAAGCCTGGAAAGCACCAACTTATCATCAATAATCAATAAACTTCACGTCTACAAAATATACTTTGATAATACCTTCAAAGTTTTTGGTGAAAATATGAATCTTGCAAATCTTCAATACTTCCAACTACGCCCACCCTTCAATCAGATTCACTCTAGTATCAGAATCAAACTCAACTTTCCATTATCTTGGTGTTCAACTCCAAAGAAAAGACGACAATTCACTTCGTAGATCGATCTACTGAAAGCCTACGTGGGAAGGACAGTTTATTAATTTTCTAAGCTCATTCTCTCTATATAGGAAGAGAAATCTTATCCATTCACTTTCCTCAAGCATCAGGAAAATATGTACTGAGGACAGTGTTGACGGAGAACTGAAAAATCTTTGACGAACTGTAGCGAAAAACGGTTTCCCGTTCAGATTCATAGATAAGAATACAAAGACAAAGAACCTAAATGAACGAACACATTTGGGGTCGGAAAAGTGGTGTTGTTGCAGGGATCATCACGAAACGACTGTCAAAATCCTTAGATAGAAAATGCCTCGCCGCCAACCTTCGAATTATTTTCTCCTGCAAGAAACGTTATGGTCAGTGTGTGAAGGACAAGCTGTTATGTTGTGCCACGTCAGTGTGTGTATACCAGTTTGCTTGCACTTGTGGAGCTGAGTATATCGACCGTACCTCACGTCCGCTTGTAAAACGCGCTAGTGAACACTACCCAGCCTAGCTGGCAAAGGGAGAAGAGAAATCTATCTTTAGTTCAATAACAGAACACCTTGTGAACTTAGGTCACTTAGCTCTTTTGCGAGCTCATTCAAAACCCTCTACAGGGTTTGATCGAACCACTCGAGGGCAGTAAGATCAAGACATTTGGCTGCAGTTGAAGCGCTAGCCATTCAGAAGCTCAAACCAGCGTTATGCATCCAAAAAGGTAAGTTCAACCTTTATCTTTGCCATGGCCATCATTAGGCCTTGACTGTTATAGATTCATCCTGTATTAGGTAACTATACATATATTTTCATAGTCCCTTGTTCAGTTTCCTACTCTGTCTTAGATTTTACCTGTTTTATATAATTACACAGTTTCACAATTCCATGTCTATTCTCTCACTCTAAATGCAAATGTGTACCATTAGCTTCCTTTAGTTATTCAATATATTTTACCCCCTAACCGGGAATAATTTGGAACGTTGTGCCCACTGTAACATATTTTCTTGAAGCTGTCTAACAACTAATTCGTTTTCTTTGATGTATGGGTTGTATCAGAATACAATCTTACAATTCTTAGTTCTGTTATGAAAACGGTACAAGGATCATGTTTGAAGCATCGAGAATCATAATATCATTACTGTTTATCAGTAAATGATACACTATTGATGATTTCAGTCGTTAATTACAAAAAATGAAGCCAAATATTAAAAAAATCTATGTTTCTTATTTTTTCACCATACAGTAATTTATGCATAACATGCGAATCAACACTCATTCTATAAGGTAAGAAGTTATCATCATTGTTCAACTGAGAGACAGGCTGATTGTTTAAAGAAAAAATTATCTGTTTGCTTGTTGTTTCTGAGTTGTTGTTTATTTCGTTTTTTAGTGTAAACCACTTGTGAATCTTCTTGGTACATAAGTATATAATAAATTAGAAATGGTTGAAAAGTACTGCTTGAAATTATCGGTAGTTTCTACCTGTAGTTTCATGTTTTTTCTATCTCTTTCTCCTTGTTTGTACACACCATGAATAATGAATGGAGGCAATAGCATTTGTATAAGCAAAACAGGTAAAAAAAAAAACTACAGTCAACAAAGAATAAACAGAATCTTCATGATTGTTTTTATCATTGCTAGCGTGAATAACAAGCAACGAACTAACACATAGATATGAAGAGAATACAAAAAGCAAATAAAACAAATTGAAAGTCAGTAAATTTCAATGTGTACAATAAATGTTTTAATTGATTCATTGAACGCATTCTTAATCAACTTGATTATTGTGCAGTAATCCAGTTCGCAGGAAAATACAACACTCAAAAATATGAAGGTAGGAACAGAAATAAACAGACAAATAAAGGAGAAATAAAATCGAAGGAAGTATCTGATAATACAGTTATGAAGATATTATAGAATAAAGGAATTACATGTGTGAATATATATGTATATATATTTATTTGTGAAAAATAGATTTAGGACATAATCTGATGATAAACTGTTCTTTTAATGATGTGTATATATGCTTGTAGTGGGCAGGGTTATCTAATAATCATCCTTGTTCTTTATATTTTATTCAACTAATTTGAAATTCTATATGTTCATTATTTTTAAAAAATAGAGCTACAATCTATCAACAAATATTTCCATATACCCTTTCTTAAAGTGTAAATAATAAAAATACTTTTTGCAGCTTCACATATAATCATTATGATAAGTAAATTGTACAGTTCTGTCATGATGATGATTTAGTTGGCAAAGGATAAATAAACAAGGTAGTTGATTGAATTGAACTCATAAATGCATATATTTATATGCTAGATCATAATTATAAACAGTTCAATGTTCAATCAAATTGAACTATCTGGTCAGAAGTATAAATGCGAAACATATTCACTCTTTTATAGTTATATATCCTCTGATTTTTGAAAATGCTTACATAATTGTCGAAAAAATTGATCTACTCTCTTGTTCATTTATTATCACTGTTATTATTATTATTATTGTTATTATGCTAATATCATGTTCATTTATTATTACTGTTATTATTATTATTATGCTAATATCACAAAAATAAATGATGAAATTTTATTGGTACTCATCACTGTCCTTCATTTGTTTGAAGGTTACCATTGAATATCAACAATGAAAGTGTTATTTATTATTCAACGATAGTGGAGGGAATTACAAACAAGCTGTTTTTGCTTTAAAAAAAAGATGTTTTTTGATATGCATATGTATATATGCACTTCATAGGTTACCAAATAGTGTTTCACTTGATACTACTACTTTATTTCAATTTAATCAAAAAGTTGAATGCACTTAATGAGTTGAAATAGTAGATTAAACGAAACAAGTCAACGTTTATTTCTTCCATGCTTGATTAAAACGATTTCGAATTCTTGATAGATTTCCTGAAGTTGTAGGAGTAGTAATCAGTTTTGTTGTTGGGATACTGGTAATAGTGCTGTTAGTATTTATAACGGTAGAATTAATGCCTTTATTACTATTATTATCCTTATTGTTGGCAGTAATAGGAGAAGCATTGGATGAAGTTCTGTTATGTGCCACAGATAAAGTTTCATTTGTAGTGGGTGTAATTTTTGTAGAGGAGGAAAAATTATACAGACTAGAAATTTTTGAAATTGATTTTGTTGTTTTTGTCGTTATCATCATTCCCGTTGTTGTGGTTGTTAGTATAGTCGGCGGCAATTTTAAATCAGATTCATCGTATGTGTTAAACAACTGATTTGAACAAGGACTTTCTGGTAAAGGTGTTAATAAATTTCTTATTAGACTGTGACCTGCCTCATCAGAATCTAGGGTGAAAGATTCATTTGAAATTGTTGATCTTCTTGAAGGAGTTTGACAGCTGATTATCGGTAACGTTGGCTTGTGAATCAATGCATTTTCTATACTTGTCACACTAATGAATTGATCTTTATCTGCGTAGGTTGGTGAAGAGTTTGCATCAGGCAAGCTGGATACATCAGTCTTAATCAATAGACCAGTAGCAGTGCTTGATTCTTTGGCTTGTTTTATCCACTCACTAGACTCATTCAATAGTAGTGTCAATAGTTCAACTTGTCCTGTTAAAAGGCGTAGATTCCAGGTTACATTATCAGCTACACGTGACATACGTCTCCAATATATAGAAGTACCAGAAGTTATTGTTCCACTAGTCATCTTATTCTGAGCATCTACACTATCTGAGACAGACTGTTGACTTACACGTCTACTGATTTCTGGTGTTACGCTGCTGAAAAGAGCCTCACTACCACGTGAAATTGAACTCCGAGATGACGACGTAAGTCTTGAAATGGTAGTTGCATGAGATGATGGAGCTTTCAAACCTTCTAGAAATGTTGTATATGCTTCTAAGGCAGTTCTTTGTGTTTGTTGTAACTGAAGTTTAAAAAATATGGTAAGATTTGTAAGGAAAAGTACTTATCATATGAGGCAGAATGTTACCTGAACAGATCAAACCTATATTTACTGTACAACTTCCACTAGTCGATCGTTATCAAGTTTTGTTTTTCAGTTTCGGACTATATACTACTGACATACATATTTATAAGTAGCAATATTACGTACAGAATATGAACGTGGATACTTGATCAAGCCCACGGTGATATAGTATTATTTAATGGATGACGTCTTAGCCAAAAATTAAGGCTAGTAAAGATCAAAATATTTAGGTGGAGAAAAACTGACTGCTAAATCCTTATTCATAAAATCAACACCCGAAACATGTGACAGAAACGATAACCCGAAGATGTAGAAAATTTCGCAACCGCTCCAATCAAAGAATAAGAGGTAATAAAACCATCTCTATATTACTTATGCTCAAATCTTTCTTAACTTGCCCTCCTGTTTTCATTTTTCATGTACCCTGCCTTTCAGACCAATAGCTGCTACCCTGATTCGGTGGTTTAGCCTGCATATCACATCGACCGAACGATCCATGTCATTGGGAACAGTTACTGCTTGAGGTCCTACCGTGCCAAAAGGATCTGCTGGGTAGTCATGGGGCAAAAAGTAGTTACCGCCATATTGTAAATAGCTGCGCTGTGATGGAGGTTAGAGGGTGGATTCATATAACTGACTTGGTAGAGTATGACAGCAACAGGTTGCCTACCGTAAATGACAGACAGTATCATGCTGACACTGTCTCTCCTACAGGAATCGGGTGGGTCCAAAAACGTTGACTCTCAAAAAGTGGCACATTCCTGCCTGCTCTGCTGTCGTTTGGTGTCGGCTGTATCATTTTTCTAGCTGGGATTCAAAATATAAATTTAAATGTTAAATTTGAAAAAGGCTGTGTTTGGTTGGGGTCAAGTAGGTGTCTTTTGAGTTCTACGGCCATGCAAAACTAAACTATTTTCTACTTTAGGAACCTTGTAGAAACAACTTCCATGGTATGGGCAGCCGGGAAGTACAGGTCTCTTGTACGCTTCCAACGGGATACCAAACCGAATTAACCATAATCTTTCTTACTTTGTTGTCTCCTTTATTTTTACTTCCTGACCCCAAGATTAAACCCTGTGTAGTTCCCTCAACTTCTCATCCTGCGGTTTCAGTTGACTTATTAGATGTATCACACAATGAAAACAGCATCATCTACTGGATAACATTTCAGGCACAATTTATAAACCATATTTATTCCAAGGTAATTCCACAACTTCGAAAAATGGTTTACGTAGTCCTAACTCTCTTTTCTTCTTAGTGATTGGGGTAGTGGGATTTTTCACATATGTGGGACGGTTGCTGAGTCATTCCTGTTGCATGGATTTAGTGTTGATTGGATAAGAACGATTTGGTTATCAATCTCTGCTTCCACCTAACAAAGTTAAGCTTGAATAATTTCGCTCCATCATATCTTACTGTGTGATTGTTTGGAACTGCATACCTATATCTGGATTCTTTATCTTACTACGGTCTACCGATCTTGATCTAGCTAGGCTTTTTATGTGCTAACCAAAGAATTGGGAAAAACTGGTAACTAAATATTGTCTACCTACAAGGAAGCTAGAAAAATTCTCGGCTATAGCTATGTATGAAATTACGCACAACCACATAATAGGATATGACAGAGTGACAGTGGTCAAATTTAACTTTGTTGGGGTAGAGGTAGAGATCAATAACGGGATATAATGGGATATAACTGTGGTTATTTACTTCACTCATGGTAAATCTACCGCATAAGATCAGATTATAAAACAGAAAGTTCACTTCTGGATTGGATATAAGTCGACAGGTAAACAAAAGCTGTTCCACTGAATGAATCTGTAGGAAATAGAAAAGACTGTGACACCATTCAACGCCTATTTGTGGTCTCTGCTTACCGATTGCAGTTCGGATGATGCAAAAGATGAGTTCTATCAAATACTGTAAGTTTTGCTACATAAAGCAAAATGTTCAGATATAGTCATAGTAGCAGGCAGATTCAATACTCAGAAAAGGAAGTTGAGCCAATCGGAAAGGCGTCTTCAAGGTATCTATAGCGTGCTGAACCAAAGAAACGACAAAGACACTCGTCTCCTATACTTTTCTTCTTGCACCCACTCATTTCTGGCAAGAAAAAACTTCAGCCATAGAGACATGTCGTCTAACTTGGTGTTCGGAGAAATCAAACCAGCGGTGAGCAAAGATCATATTAATAAAAGGCATCACTGCAACCCTCAATGGAGGGTTGACGCTCTTTCTTCCTGATGGAGTCTGCCGTGATATTCAGTCTACTGTAGAAACAGCGACAAAGGATATTGGCAACCTAAATCTAATGGTTAGCCAGTAGATTTCCGTAACGTCACGAGAGTTAACCAATGCGGAAAACACTCATTTCAGCTGACTTTGACTACAACGAAGAGCAAAAATAGTTTAAACTTAAACTGATCAAGAGTCTTCTCAAGGATCGTGAGCACTGGTAGATGGTTAAAGCAAGAGAGATACAGAAGAAATCAGAATTAGTTAACACTCGTAAATTTTTTAGGTTCCTTAAGGATACTGATAAGAAGAAGACGATTGTTAATGAAACCACTCAACGACAATTCCTCTGATATAAATTCAACGCAAAAAATGTATAGAAAGACAAACATTTTCAAAAAAGATCAAAAGTTGTGAGAATTGTAGTCAGTTATGAAGTTGTTTCACTACTGTTGCTTAGATTAATAGCAGTACTTATAATTTTCGTAGTTTCCCTATCGTTCCACATAAACTTTGCTCTGTTTAGTGACAACAGAACCAAAACCTAACTTGAAAAGAATATTCTATCGGTTACTTTCATCTACTGACAAGAACAGTGTACTACTAGTAGGAAGAGAAGCAAACAACAATGAAAATATGAGAATTGAAGAGCTGCCTTTTGATGGATTATTCTTTTGTGCTTTAAAAGACAGATAAGCCGGCAATATAAACGCAGGACCTCGCACACAAATGCATCAGCTCAATTTGTCACACAAGGAACAGGTGAATAGAATTAGAGTGATATCAAATTAGACAAAATTTTTTATGAGAACAAACAATTTGAAGAAAAAGGTTAGTCCAAATATTCAAGCATCAGAAGATATCAAGTAGTGAATACATCTGTGCCACTGTCACCGATTTTCAGCCATATCACCAAGACTCCTCAACCACTGATTCCTTTCTTCCCAGGGACACCAACCAGGTAGTCAAAATCTTTCCACATGGCTCAAACCAACAGTCAAGGACTTCATCGACTGATGGCAGGTCTTATTCTAGTCACGCATATCGAGGTGGATGGTGGCTTGGTATGCGAAACACATGTCCAAACCATCTCAGTCTACTAAGGTCCACAACCTCATCAGTCGACTTGTCTGTCTTGCCTAGTACTCTTCACCTGACCTCAAAATCGCTCACATGTTGATTCCACCATTTACGAACAAAGCTGTGAAGTCACTTGTGATCAAAACTTTTTAGCCGTTTCATGTCTTCTGCAAAGGAACTAATTTTACATCAGTGTTCTTTGTTTACGCTTATAGACTCCATTTCTCTTCATTGATTATTATTCTGTACCTTATTGTATAGAAGTAACAGTCATTAAAATATCAATATATATTGTAAAAGGATTCCATTTGTTGCGTTGAGAACTTGTTATTTACATATCTGAAGAAATGAGCAGTAATTCATCGGTGTCAGATGTTATTCGAATACTGAAGAGTGTAAGCAGTCATAATCTGTTAAAACAAGACAAAATATTTGGTTGTAACCATAAAAATCCTAATATCTAGTCACCTAGTCTTGTGAAACCTTTACAAACTTAATAATCGATGTGAATCCTGCTAATGTGAAGTATTTGGCAACATTGTCGGGCACCTTGATTAGTCATAACTCCAGTCAGTCAGCAAAAAACGGTAAATACCTTTTCAATTCTACCAATTAAAAAGTCAGCTTTGAAGAAACTCAATGGTATTCTCATAATTTATAAAGCTACATTATTCATGTGCAAATACTGTCTTAGTATTTATATCACAAAAATTACTAAGTAAGTACGTTTTTTAATTATATACTCTGAGAAAAGCATGACAAGGGAAGCAAAAGGCAACATACTTTAACTCGTAGATACGGTCCTTGTTTAATCAACGTTTTACAGGATTCAATGAGCTGAATATATAACAAAAAGGAATTGAATATGAATCATCGATTGGGTGAAAATGTTCACGATTAAATGTGAATATAATGTAAAGTATATCACAGTTAATGGATAAAGGCTAGCAGTGGAATATAAGACGTGCGTTTAGTCCTATGTGAAAATCATCAGCTTGATGTACCTGCGTTTCCGTTGGTTGTTGTTCCCGCCAGGACTCGAACCCAGAGCCAGTCGCTTCAAGCACCTGAAGGTTATCTACTAGACCTATGGGTTATGATAACCACCTCTTTTACAACGAGTGTAGTATAGTCTTTGAGTCTTTAGAGTTTCGAGAATCACATCTCGAAGCTGGTCACTTGTGAGTACTGGACAGCAATTCGATTTGGCGGTTTGTGTCAACTTATTTGTTGATTTCAAGCTGATATTCATCATCTGTATTTGATTGATTTTTGTCGATGATCCATAATCCTAATTTATCAGGTTATTTCCTCAGATTCCTTTTAGATTCAGAGAAGTCTCATACTGTTCATTACACGGAGATATATAAGATCAATCTAATCTATTTTTATAACATTAAAAAAGATTTGTAACTCAAATGGATGACCTAACTTAGTCGGCACTGTTTTAATCACATGGTTGGTCTTCATCTGAGTAGTATAGGGAGCTTCAAGTTTTTTCTAGATTCTTCGTGATAAAGAAGATTTTTCGTTGTAGAAAATGTGTGAAATCACTCACAATCCAAAGTATTGACATGGGCTAAATATAAATCATTCCGTTTAAATTTATTTTCCTTATTTTTGATTGTTCTAGGTGATTTTCTCTCTGTGTACGGATGATCACATTAGCTTCACTTTATTCACTCACTCACTCACTCACTCACTCACTCACTTAGTTACTTAATCTATTTCTGATTGAAATTCATGTGTATACGTTAGCTAGAAATTTAACTGAATGAATAATTGCTACTTCTTACTGAACAAATCGTCTGAACACATATCTTTAGTCACAATTAAGATGGATAGGAATTATTGAAAATCTTTTAATTGATGAAATATCATTTAATCAACCATTAGTTAGTTTTGCCTGAGGGACTAACATAATACGAAGCAATACTAAGCGTGAAAACTGAGTTTAATTTCTGTAAAACATACTAAAACTGTGATGAAGATGATTATATAAACGTTGAATATGTTTCAGTTACTAAAATGATTGGTAAATTGAAATGAGTCCAATCACTTGATTGAGATAGGTTATTCGCTGATGTTTGTTCAATATTCACCAGTGATTAGGCTCACGTTTACTTAGCTTAACATCCTGTGTTTAAAATCTTTTCCAGTTTTCAACGTAGGTTGCTTGTCTGCATCATAAAAAATCACAGAGCGACAAAAGTAATCTAAGCAGTAAAAGGCTAGTGACTACTATCATATCGTTTAGTTTTCACTATTAAAAAGAATGCAGGCCAAGGATAAGAGTGTAACGAGACATGGCTGTGAAACTTATTCAGTCTTGTGTTCTTTGAGTTGGATTATGTGACCTGGTCATCAGGATAAGCTATCTGGCAGCTTATGGGGCATTCCACATTGCTTACTTTCTTCTGAAGTTTCTGATGACTATTTTGTCGAGAATGATAATTAAAGGATCCTGATTAAATGATATAGCTCAAAAAACAGCACCCCGTTGAGTGATTCAGTTTACTCAGTGTTAACTGTTCAGGAGCACTGAGGAGTAATACTTTCTTAACCTAATTTCGTGGTGGTTAACATTGAACAGCACTGAATACCTGTGGTATTTCACCAGCCAGATCACAGTGATCTTAACACCAGACGACCGTTTCACTCGTTTAGGGCCAAGCTCATCAGTGGTGTGCCGGGAAAATTCTACTCACAGAAATCTACCAATCAGCCTGAAAGGTCTCTAACGACGAAAGTTGTTGAGCAGCCGTATATTTTGCTAGTTCATGACACTTTTATGTCGGAAGTCACACCATGTGATCTTGGTTGGATAGAAAACCTCAGCGAAAACCTTGGTAATATCAAAGTTGAGCAGTTTAAAAACAACTCAGCTATGAGAAATGTCAACGGGAACCGTGCAAATTGTAAATCATTTGCAAACTGATAAAGACGTTCTCAGTTAAATCACTTGCGTCATTCGCAAACCAATGCAAAGTCTGGTTACAGCTGGTGTCTTACATTTCTTCTAAAGAGATAATCGAATCTCCCTTATATATAACATGCATGCCATTATGATTTTCCTATCTCACTTCCACCAAGAATTAGTATTCTGAAAAAAGATGGAGACTAAATCTGTGTTCATGTATTAGTTTTAGTCGACTACAGGAAGTCTAAGACAGCCTAATTACTTCACAGGGTCGACACAGTCTTTTACAGCCGTAATCACATCCAGGCTAGATTTGTTCATAGCACTGCTCACCAGGGAAAAAAACAATGTAAACAACTGTAGACTCTTCTATCATCAGTGATATGCCGTACCGAAATTTTAATTCCTTTCTTTTTAGTTACGTTGAGATATTCTGTTCAGGCTTTAGGGATAAAAATCCGGTGAACACTGAACCTTAGACATTGTGATACTGATTACTATCCAGCAGCAGTTCATATAATCTTCTCTTGTATTGATTAATCTACGGAGAAGTGCTATCATGGTAGGAGATAAGGCAGTATGAGCTGTGAATATGGAATCATTCATGTCATATCATTAATAAGGTTGACATAAAATAATCTAAATGCTTGTTTATTCGTACGGCATCAACACAGTAAGCGTGGTTTCCAGTAAATCCTAAAATATGTATATATTAATTCGAACTACTTTAATCTCAACAGTAGTATTATAAAAATAGTCTAGTTTTCATCTCAGTTTTTAATTTCACATATCTTGATAAATGTTTAAGACAATTCAAATCAATCTAAAGTACAATATTTTGCTTTCGCTTGTGTATGTGCACTTATAAGAGAGCCGTAGTAAAATAATTTTCTACCCCTGAACTATTAATTCCCTTTTCTTCATCAAAACATGTTCTATGTAAATAAAAAACACTTTTCCTTATAAAAGGTGTTGGCTTTGGATAGAGATAAAGAAATAATTTATCTTTTTAAAAGATTAGGTTGGGTAAACAAATTTTACTGTTGTGGTAAACAGGATATTTTGGAGACTTGAGATGTAGATTCAACGGAGGCGTTTAGTACTTTTTTCAGATTTCAATGAAAACAAACAAAACACTGTTCATATCATATGATTATAATATTTCAGAGTATAAGTAGCACATAATTACAATTTGATGAGTACTTGTATTACTGATAAGGATTAGTAGTACCACTTACACAGGCAATCAGTTATAGGCAGATACATCAGAAGCATTTGAACACCGAAGAGTTGATTTGATCGTTTCAAGTGAGGCTCATCAAAATATACAATGGTTTCCATATAATATCCGAAACAACTTGATATTACGAGAAAATTCAAAATCCTTTTTACCAGTGGTCTTAGTTCTTTGATTACCACTAGTAAGTTTTTAACGATACGCCTAAATGACTAATTCTATCCCCAACGGACCACAGGGTCATCTATTATTTAGATTGTTCCAACCTAGGTGCCAAAATACGTTGAATGGTATATTTGGTGTCTAATGTCATGTTTTATTTATTGAACAGGTAACCTGCAAGGATCGCAGTTGTTTTGTGTAGAGCTGATCGTCCATGGGGAAATTCAGTCGATAAATCTTAGTCAAGTTTAATGCTGCTAAACCAAAGGTATGTAGGTTGTCCTCAGATGACAATTACCACCTTGAAGCTTTGGTCAGAATAGCCTAACACAATAACCAGACGAACTGTGGTAGATTAAACAAGTATTTTTTAAAAGTTGTATCATGCCGGCAAGGTCTGACAAATAGTAGTAAAAAGAAGAGCAGTTACCTACAAGGTAAAAATAGCTTAAACTCTGAATGAAGTCTGGAGGGTGAATTCGTACACCTGACGTTAGTAAAATTTCTTAACAAGTAGGTGGTTGCCGACTCCGTTCATTTACGAGACTCAAGTAAGCATCTTTCGCTGAAACAGGTACTTGGTGAGTGCACCAACTTGATGGTGGCTTGATTTTTGGACTTCCTGATCGTGTTGGAGTATGTGTAGGCTAATAAGCCATCTGTATATGTCTAGTGGTGTTTCCAAAGTGGATTTGATTTCAGCATTCTTATACAAATTTTTCATATACGTGTTTGTGGACACGCCCCTTTCCTATTTATCTGGATTCAAGGGTGATTGGTCTCATAACGGAAGACTTCTTAGAAAACTTAAATTACGCACCTGACATAACACTATTAAATGAAGATAGTAAAACTTGGTCATTAAAGGTGGAGGACATGAGTGTGTTCAACGATAGTTGACTTTGAAGAACTAGTCAACTGTCGTGAAACCATCACATGAATAATGTAGAGGTCAAGCAGAAAGACGCGGACAAAAGATGTAAGACTGTTTAACAGGTTGCAAGTCTTCATCCATTGAGGTCGTTGGATATTTTCTACTCATTCCTGATCAGCGTCTTTCCTAATGCTCAACATTAGCTGAACTAACGATAGGTTTGAAAAATATTGAGGTTGGTCAGAGTGGGGCGTAAAATCACTTCAAGAAGTCTCTGACTAGAAGTATGGGCAATGTTAAGTAGTGTAGACTTCCAAGTTACATCTCGGTATCATACAGATGTTATACTATATTTCCCTGTTTGGCTTAATTCCTCCGCTTTACATCACCCGGCTTCCTATGTTTCTTGATTTAGGTGATAGCCACCACCAAGCAAATCATAAAGCAATGGATCTTCAGGTGGCAAGTGTCAAGGCATCTCCTTAGAAGCTCATATGTCAACAAAGACCGACCACTTCTATCCAGTATAACAACAGAAAGTTATAAGGACCGGTAAATAAAGTCTAAATATATTACTTCTATTCGTCTGTCTTTTCATAAATTGTCTTGTTTCTTGGTTTACAAGTGTGCTGTCACAACTGGAACCATTATGAAGTAATGTCAAGCGCTTTGTGGATGTTGACTTAACGACTGTTTAAGGTTTGGAAATGCGTTTAGTGTATAAATACAGTGATAAATTTATTATTTCCAGTCTTAAGACAGCAGAGATGCATTAGTTTTGTAGGTGAGAGTCAGGGAACAAATTTTCAAGGGTAACTTCCTAAAATGATCTCCTCTTATTTAGCTACCTCTAAAACGGAGACATTTCGTGTCACTTAATAGTAGTGTACTATCCTCGAAGCCGGTCATAAAGTTCTGTGATTATTTGTGTTTATATGTTACTTTTCAGTTCAACATTTGTGTATCAAAAATCAGTTCACCATTCTTTCAAAAAAAGGAACAAACGTGCATAAGGACAGTTTCAAGTATAGCCTTTGGCAGATTGAAACTATGACAGACGAAAAAACACCTGAGTTGAAATCTCTTGACCAAAATCAAAGTTTCATATTCACTTATTTATATGATATAAAGTGATTACACCCTTTCCAGTATTTCGTTCTTGTTTTTGTCGACCAGAAAGATGAAATTTTGACAACACTTATCTATGGCCAAAATTGGAGGTGATAATTCCATACCATCTCCTAGATAAAACGTTTAGTTGAATTTTGAAGAAGTTGCGGGGATTTGGAAATATTTCAAGTTGTTATTCATCGTAGACTGGTATCAGTTGAAGAAACAAAGGAAACCTGGGAGCGCTGGACAGCTGTGGACAGCTGAAGGTCGCGGGTCCGATCCCTGGCGGGATCGTGGGTGCGCACTGCTGAGGAGTCCTATTCTAGGACGAAACAGCTGTCCAATGCTCCCAGGTTTCCTTTGTTCCTCCAGTTGATGTCAGTCTACGATGAATAACAACTTAGTGTCTTAGTGTCTAAACCAGTGAGGGTCGACTTTGACACCAAATTGGTTAAAGTTCATATATCTTGGTTCGACTAGTTTCAAGATAATCAATATGCTACTACGATGCATGCCGTTTCTACCACTTACCACTAACTGGTAAATTGAGAGTTGTACTACCCGCATATGATTACTGAAGTTGGCACAAAACTTAAATCATGCCAACGGACTCTTCATAATCAGTTCAGTCCTCTACTGATTGAACTGTAATCTCAACTACTGACTTGATTTATAGATCTAGTTGTAATTCAGGTCTCTTGTTAGCTTTAATTCAACAATCCAAGGAAACTTCAGATAGTTCAATCAATAGCATACTAATAGTGAACAAAACACAGTAAGCAAACTCCAAAGCTTACAGCTTCAAATTCGTTCACAGTTTTCTTCATCTTATCCAGTCGGCCGACAGAAAATGAAGAAATACTGCTGTTACTTGAATGAATACTTTGACGCCTTGCCATATTTGTTGTTGATATTGTTGGTGAATGATCATGTGTACTATGACTATGACTATTAACACTGCTGTGACAGCCGCTAACATCAATTGACAGAGCTGATGACGCATCTTCATCAATAGACTTTGAACTACTTTTTAAACGTCTGTTTAAGAATAGACGAGGTGAAAGAATTAATGACGGAGAACGATGCAATCCAGGAGCTGGTGAAAAACGCAATGATGAATTACGTGTTGAAGATGATGATGAGGATGGTTGTAGTGCTTGTGATGAATCTCCAAGTGTATTTAAACTTGGATAAACACTTAATCCAGAGCCCATAAATGAACTTTGTAGTTCTAAATGTGGCATTTCATCTTCTAAGCGTATACGCATGCGTACAGGCCATAGATCAGGTGATCCAAATGATGTACCAATACGCGTTGACAGCGCACGAATACACTGGTTCATAGATAGGGGTGTTGATGTTTCACCGCATAGACGTCGAAAGTTATCAAAATTTGTTAGGACAGATGTTCTAAGTTCACACGCCTGACGTAATGTTGTTGTTGTGGCCTAAAATAGCGAAATAACAAGTACAAAAAATAATAACAGAATATGTTGATAAATATTTGTAACGTTAGTGGGATAATAAAAAGGATATTTTAACATTCTAGACAGAAAAATAAACATAAACACCATAGGACCTGGTTTATCGATCTAATTCATCATATTTCCCATCAGTATATCGAGAAAAATGCCGTGACAGAGAAGAACAAATGAAAATAATCTGTCCGCAGTTGTGAAGTGACTTGAAGCCAAAAAGAAAACAGTTTTGAAGAAGTAGAAAAATGCATGGTTATAAAGTCTTATAAGCATTAAAAGAGATGTGGATGCGTTCGCATCACTACTGCTGATCTTGTACCATATCAAGTAAAATATACAACCATTATTGTTATGTAAATGAGGAGTTTAGTTGAGACCTAAACGTAATCGAAATATAGGATTTTGACACCGTGTAAGATTGTATTTCCATATTCAAAATTAGACATCTGCTTCTCTAAGTGACTAAGACCAACAGGTGGTGACTCTATGAAGTGGTAGGATTTCTCATTTTGACCAGTCTAAACCATTCTCAGAGACGTAACATAGTCTATTTAAAGTAATTAATGTTACACCATATGGCGGTACTTTAGCGTTCACCGAAACCCACCAAAATAATCATTTTTCGGTTTACATTTACTCTTTATAACCAATGTCAGTTGGATAACAGTCAGAAATTTTGGAGAGGTGGGTATTTGACGTTTTTTAACCGGAGACTCTTTAATATAGCCTACTGTGCAAGGCAGACGGAAAAAAGCCAACAAGTAACCTCGGATAGAGGTACAGCGGATCAAGCTGCCATACTTCATCATGGCATGTAAAGAGCAAGTTGACAACAAAAGAGTGATATTAAAGTCATTAAAAGTATATGGGCGGAGAACGAATTTGTGCAAATGAAGGTTAGTGGAAATGTTTAAACCTTCGAAAACGTCAAAGAGTGAATATATCTGCGCCATTGTGACCGAATTTAAGCCATGTCATTAAGGCCCTCAACCACTGATTCCTCTTACCCCGAAGATGCCAACCAAGCACTCTACACTTCTCCACATGGGCCAAACCAACAGTCAGAGACCACGGAAAGATATGACATTTTAGTCTGGACATTTTTAGACTTATTACAAATCTATCATAAGGTTAACTAATAACTTAATTCCAGCAACAAATCCAAGATAGCGGCCTGCTTAGAACTTCGGGCTACCAATATTTTCCATTGTATATATTACATCAGATTTTGTGCTTTTATTATTCAAATGTCAGCAGGTTGAGAAACGTACTATCTCGCATTCTTAGAATACTCCAACCTATTGTCACACAAGTTAACAATAAAATTACAAAAAAGGTGTAACGGTGGATGGCAGTGAGATCTTGAGCGCACACTAGTTCATCACATAACTATTACAGGAATATTTAGCAGGGACTGAGAGTTTTATATTGACTGAGTGATCCTCCACCACCAAACCTGTGAGTGCTTTTCTATTCGTATCCTCGTGCGACAACGTATCCACAAACTAGACGATTACCTCAAAATAACTGGTCGTTGTGCATTATTATTTATCATACTATTATTATTAACACTATTGAAGTGCGATAGTTATTTAATTTGAAAACACTGTGAAAGGAGTAAATTGGTTGAGATACCATACTGAGAGTTCCATACTGTTATAAAAGTTATCACCTGGAATAAAGTGAATATTTATTATCATTATTTTTTATTTGTCCCATAGGTTCCTGGTTGGACATAAGGCTTCAGTAGCACGTCGCCATTTCACTCTCTTCTCTATGGTCTTTTTAATCTGGCTCCACGACTGCACAGAAGCTTCCATTCCTTCGTCACATGATCTCCTCCATGTCACTCTCATCTCGGACGCTCAACTCGTCGTTTCCCATACGGGTTCTACTCAGAGGCCTAGCCTGGAGAGTGATGCCCGCAAGTGGTCTCCTCATTGCATGCCCAATCCACCTTCATATTCTTCTGTATATTTGTTGGGCAATGGGTTGTTGGTTGGTTCGTTGCCAGCCAGAGTTCATTGTTGCTTACTCTTATTATTCTGGACATCTGATCCTCAGTATCGAGTGAGCATAGGAGACAGCCGTTGATAATGTGTCTGGAGTTTGTTGGAAATGCTTTTTGTAACGCGCCAAGCCTCTCAACCATCACATAGAAGCATTGACTTGACTGACATGTGTTGGAAATGCGGATCTTGTTCACACTTTATGCTGAGTGGAGTAGATCTCCATACTGGTTTCAGATTAATGAAGGTCTGTCTTGCAGTCTCTCTGATCCTGCCTTTGACATCCTCATCTGTGCCACCACCACCGCCTATGGTTGAAATTATGCTGCCTAGGTAGGTGAAAGAGACAACTTCCTTTAGATTTCTCCTGTTGATGGTGATTGGAGCTTGTTGTTAGTTGGGTGTCTTCATCACCTGTGTCTTCTCTACGTTCACCTGAAGTCCTATCTTCGCTGCCTCACCTCTTCTGCCAACTTGTTAGTTTTCGCCTGTAGACCATTGAGTCCACGCGACATCAGACATAAATAATAATCGGCGAAATCCAAATCATCTAGCGTCTTCTCATTGGTCAAACAGTATATGTCCATCTCCTTGCTCCTTGCAGTTTGTTGCATGATTCAGAAGATAAAGCGACTATTTTTATTATTATTTTGATGATGAACATCATGCTTTTAAGGTGGTAAATTATAATGCAGTGACTATTATTTGTTCATTTCATGCCATTTGGGATCTGTGTTATGTGGATGTTTGTAAATAACATGAGAATATACCGAGTGTAAACAGGCTCACAAAATTGTTTGAGTAACCTATTGGAAACAGCAAGCACTGAAAGAAGCTATTCCTTCCCATTTTAAGATCCTTCAACAGTGTTCATTGACAACTATCAGTGCTGCTCAATAAGGGTTCATGGATTTCATGATGATTGTGTTATCTTTAAGGTAGCATTTATCACTGAATAACATCAGTTGGTGAACTACTGAAAATCTAGGAGCACTGTGTGCATACTACTGAGAAAGCCCATACTAGGACAAAACAGCAGTCCAGGACGACCAGGTTTTCAATGGTTCTCCAATTGATGTCATTACGTGATGAACACCATGTTAGAATGAACTTCTAATGAAATTCAAACTAGATTATGTTATCTTTTATTAATTCACACACCGAAATTCAGTCGTTTTGCCACATAACACAGGCATCAGACGACATGCATCTTCACTGCTGAATAACTTGATCTCAACGGTCATAGCATTCATGTAGAAATGGTGGGAATCTGTCCGAAGGTAATTCACTAATGAGCGGTAAATTAATACTCCATTGATTGGTTTCTTAAAAACAAACTGTGGTGAGAGCTACTTATAAAGATACACATAAGTAATATATATATATATATATATATATATATATATATATATATATATATATATATATCAGTATGGAAAATGAAAACGATGAATTGGTGAGAAATCAGGTAAAAGGAACATGCAATATTGCCTGAGAATACAAAGCATAAGAAGTAGGCGGAATAGCATATAGCACGGGAGATAACTTGTGAATAAACAAATAATGGTCAGGTGTAGGAACTTCGCTAATATCATTAGTACTTAATCAAGGAAGTGGTCTAAATTGCACGATGAACATCTTCAGGACTTTGTAAAATGCTATATCATATATCACTTTGTAATAAAACTTAAGCAAATAGTTATTTTCGAAAATGTTTGGTCACGGTGTACAACTACCTGGACATAAAAATTTCGTGTCATTGTGGTTAACGGGATTCAAGTTGAAAAGTAACAGTAAATGAGATGATATTAATGGTAGGATGAGACTATACAAGAATTTACATTATCCCAAGTAGTTAATTATAATGAATTGATGTGGGTGTTTGATATGGTCAAAAATGAAATAACCATTTCTGAAAAGAGTTAGAAATTGCATAGTATTCGACTGAATATGGTCAATGGATAGACAGTCGTCAAACTCATTATCATAGTAGTAGATAACTAATCACGATGAGAACAAAAACGATAGTGGGAAAGAAAAGTCACTGTAATAGGTGCATTTAAGGAGGATAGAAGTAGAGCAAGTGAGCGACTCGCTAATGTAATACTAAACAAATGGAACATAATAGAAGTGTAATGCAGCGACACCAATGAAATAAATGTTTCAAAGTATGACAATCAAACATTGAAATTGTTCACTTCCGTTTTAATAAAAAGCTTACCTCACCGATAGGTACTAAGCCCTATTATAAACATTCTGAGAATTCATTGACTCTAATTGTAACCTCGTCCAGTGAACGGTATTACGGTTTGTAACTAATTGAATAACTTAACTATCTGACGTTAGGAAAATTCACATTAAAGCCGATGTGTTTACAATGTCTTAGGTGTTTAGTACATTTGATGTTTCCTTCTTTTAAAACACATATACACAAATACAAATGAAGAAGTCTCTATTAATTACCTACGTTCTAATAAGCAGCCACCCTGCTTCATTTTCTTAATCCTCATCACATTTGATTTATGATTTAATGATAATAATGGACATTGTCTAGCAGCGGAATCCAAGGTGCATGTTTCGTCCTATTTGAAACTCGTTGGCTGGATGTCCCTTCCTCCCAGTGAATGATTTTCGCCCTCATTAATAAACGCTTTGATTGCCAACCTCATAGGTTAGCTGCTCAAGACAATGTATGAAGATGAAAGTCTATGATTGGGATAACTTGCATGCTGCTTGGTTATTCCGTCACATATGGATGGTTGTGTATGAATTGTAGTTTGGTAACAACCCTATATATTTAGGATGGCTTGTCAGGATACTGGGTACCTTCAGTCTTCCTATAGATGATTGTGTCCACTTTATCTTTGTCCATTATATTATGTCGAATGTGAGATCGATTAGCCTATACACTCATCCAAATGCATCATACCTCTTTAAGTTTTGCTTTATATTGTCTTACACACACTGGATAATAACTAAATTAAACTGGAATCCATAAAATAACTAGTCTTCGTTTCAATAAGCAGTACACACAATGGAATTTAGAACTTAACAGGTCACAGTTTAACCGAAAAATGTTCTCAAGAGCCAAGTGACTGGTAAAACCAATTCCGAATTCTGAATTTACCAATCTGAGACCTATGTTTCTGAACTAAATACTCTGTCAACTGAGATAAAAAGTTGGAACTGGCCCAAACAAGTCAGAAATACTTTCCACTTGCATTAGAATTTCCTGCACATGGAACAGAACCAATCAAGGAATAAAACTTTGTCAGCCGAGTAAGCCGATTGATTGTAAAACGTGTGAACTATTTGGGGAAACCATCAATACTTCGAATTAAAATAAGTGCTCACAAAAAAACCATGGTGACAAGGGCATAACTAGGTGTAACTTAGTCACTAAATTTCACCGTCAGTCTTTTGGAAACCACACTTTCAAACCAAAAATTATGATCTTCTTGAGATAAAAAATGGTACCAAAAAGGTGAGTATCAGATTTGTACGATATATGACGTTCAGTGAAACAAGGGGTTATAAGTTAATAATTGTGATCAGTATTTGCAGAATTGGTTTGATTTGAACGACTCAGCTTTTCTTGATTAATTGAATGATGTAAGATGATGACGAAGTTAGCCTGAAGTAGGTAAAGTGATAATCCAATGATAAGATAGCCTACATCTGATAGGTAAACACCATTGATATCGAAGGTTTACAACTATTCATTAAATTTGGTCTCATATATTGTCAAAAGAGTTGGTCACTGGGTATTAATTGATGTATCTACTAAGATCAAGGTGTCCACCGCTAACCAAATCTGTTACTTGATCTACAATATTACCACTAAGGTGACACAACACTGCAGTGCACTTTATTTTTACTTTTAAACGTTAGACTAGATAGAAAATTCACTAATAAGCAAGTATAACGTAACTCTGAATGCCACCTAACATAAAATCATAAATTTAGGGTTTCTTGCTAACTTACATTCAACAGTTGGCATCAATATATTGTGAATACGGTTAGATATAAGGAGAAATGCTAGCTTCGGGGAAGCAAACATTCAGACTACGTGTGCTTTTTAGAAGTAAATGAAAACCTTTGGGAGGACTGGGAAAATGAATATCCTGATAGGATGGAAAACCAAATCGCTAAGTGATATACGCCTGTCGTTAGCGATGCTCTTTGTATGTAGTTATTTTGTTATGGCTAGTTGTTTGGGCATACCCGATAAAGTTACAAGTGAGGACATAAGGTTAATATTTAGACACTTTATATGTTGATGCATAGATTTTTTACTCACATCGAAGAAATCTTAATATATCAGGTGGCCTACTGACACGACCAGGATAGCAATCATTAGCAGTTAATTGGATTTTTTTATTCAACAAGGTCAAAATATCTAAATGATATTACTTAGCTTAGATGAACTAGGATATCAAGCGTAACTTTCTGAAATACCGGTGTTTTAATAGACTTGTATTGGTATTAGGTGATGATTGAAGGTGAAGTGAAAATTTGGGCCACATTAGGATTCAAACCAGTGACCATCGGGATCCCGGCCCAGTGCTCTACCAAGGGTCTGGTAACATCAGTTGGTAGAGCACCCGAACGAAGCACTCTAAATACATATAGCAAAGCAATTAATTTTATCTTCTAAGCAATGACTGAACTCTGCCAGGCGGTTGTGGAATATGATTATTAAGCTAAGTCAGTCAACACTGCCATGCATCCTTTTGAATCTCTGAATCCTTTTTGAGAAATTATCTGGAATGTGTTTATGATATGTGTTATGATTTCTACATCTTCAACCTCCAGGAAATTCACGATTTCTTACAGCTTCAGATTTACTTCATTCAATATTATAAAGGTGGAATGTAATCAGTTTCGAGTAACAAACAACATAAGTTTATACTGAATATGTCTATTTGACATAGTACACAGTGATATAGTACTTTTGGATGACGGTTGCACTTCATTGCTAATTGACAGAAGTAGAAAAATGTAGGCCACTGAACTTTGACCCAGTAACTGAATGGTAATATGTTATTCGCACGATATGTAATTCGTCAGCTCAATTCCTGATGGGGTCCCACGTCCGCACTACTGAAGGGTATAGTGTCAAGATGAAAATTTTACCCAGTGCTTCCAGGTTTTAATGATTTTCCATCTAATTTCACTTCATGATGAATACCACTTTGAGATCAAATAATCCTTACAAGGCTCCAAAAGAAATTCCCGTCTGGTTTATTATTTTTGTGTGTATATTTAACCAACGGGATGTGATTTGTTTCAATAAAATATGCGTCAACTTGTACAGACTTAATTCTTGAAAAAGAAAGCAGCTTCTTCGAGGTTATAAAAATTCAGAAATTCACTTTCTACTTGAATAAGATCTTACAAAAATGTAATTTTTTGAGATTACATGAATATATCAGAAAGAAATTGATGAGGTAAATTTAAAAACAATAATGTAGAAGGCTATTTTTAAAGGGTATTTACCTTGAATATATCATCAAATGTTGAGACACCAACTTTTTTCAATTGTAACTGTTGACGATTACGTGAACGCCATTTATGCAATAGACCAGTATGATTTTCCTAATGCGTAAATAATAACAAAACAAAGTTCAAAAGGGAATTAAATCTTCGGTTTATACTGTTGACTTAAGGGAACAGAATCCATGCCAGTAAAATATTAACTAAGGATGAAAAGCTGTGTACCAACACTCCCTTCATCAATAACACATTTGATCAACTTACTGAAGTGGAACAGACAAGCAACAGTAATGTGGCCGGCTACTGGAATTTTTAATCTTGATAACATTCTATGCATAGGACTGAAATGACTAGCCTTTGCTGGCATATAGATACATTATAAGAAGTCCCGGATACTACTTTTAATTATATATTAATTATATATCTATTATTTGGTTACTGTGAAATCCATAACACGCATCTGATCTTAATGGGAGTTTATCACCAGCAAATACCAACAACTGCAATGAGCTGCAAGTAGATTTGATTGAAGAAGGCTAAATTCAAGACATTAAAAATATTGATGAAGTTAAAAAAAAGTTTGGCGATAGAGTGTCCACAACCAAATATTAACTGTCGTGGGAGATCAAGTCATCGTCAGACTACACTTGTAGAAACGAATAGATTGTATTGTTAACAGGAAGAGATGATGGGACAACTAAGTGATCCACATATGGAAGGTCAATGTGGAATGATGAAGTGATGAACTTTCAAAATTGGTTTCTCACTGCATGAGAAAGAAATTTAATCTATTACCTTTCTTCTTGAATCCAGAGAATTTGTACTGTCGACAGAATTCGACATCTAAGATAGAAGTTGACTAGGAATGGTTACCCAAAGGGATTGACAAACAAAAATTTGCATGAGAATGCTACCTACCAATTTCTTAACAGTATGGGAACGAAAAGGTAGTTTTCAAATTCAGAATTCAATAGAGGTGCAGCAGATGAGATGATAAAAGGCAGACTAATGAAGGCCAACAAAACAATATTCTATGCACCTATTCTGCCAATCACCTATACTAGTCGTTGAATAGTAAACAAGTGTGTGAAGGACAAACGGAAACTTTTAGCCACTTCCGTATGCGTATATCAGTTCATTTGTCCTTATGAAGATAGGTACATAGGCTATACTTAGAGACAAATTCTTCAAAGTCAATACCAACACCTTCCAGTGTAACTAAACAAAAATCAGTATGAATCACTCAATAGTTCCATATTACAGCATTAAGCTGAAGGTGGAGACATCTGTAGAAGATTTATTTCCAGAAGTCTCTAAATCCTAATCTAAAAACAACTGGATAAAACTGGATAAAACCCACTAGGTGGTAATAAGCATCACCCAAAATCTTTTGATTCAGTTAAAATTTCAGTTCTGAATCTTTTACCTCTTTGGTAAATATCTAGGCAAATAAATTATTACTCTTCAGATGAAGGAAACAATTAAAAGTTAAAATATAATTATAATTGCGAATAGTTGTAATTATTCTATTTTAAGAAAAAGGCAGACTTATGCTTTTGTTGAAATACAAAGTACCAGTTATACAGACTGTTTTAGTTATATTTCATTATCTCTTTCTCACGATAGCTTTATTACCCAGATTGTTAATTTGTGTTTGGTTTATTTTTCGCATAGATTTAACAAAAACTTTTACCGTCTTGTTTTTTTTTTGAGTAAAAAGGTTCTGTTTGCTGATTCTTCTGGGAACTAAAAATTCTTCAACTTTTAATCAGTTTCACAGACAAAAACATGTGGGACTGAATGATATTAAGCAGTTTTGAACAATTTATCACTAACATTACCATTATTATTATTATTATTATCTCACTGACACACAATAATGAAAAAAACTAGCAGCCTGCTGAAACTTTGAGGAGCTAAAAAACTTTACATTGACTATATTGCATGAAATTTCTCTTTTGAAAGTCGTCCTAAAGATTCAAATATTCCCTCATACTGCAGTATATAATTTGACACCTTTAAAAATGGTTTTGAACTTGTTGTTTCACAATTTCATAACACGGTGGTGGATATTTATAATGCAAGCATACAGGTTTTAAAGTAGTATACAAAGAAAATGTGGATAGAAAAACACTGATATCGAAGCAGAAAAAGGTGTCTAAGAGGAGGAGAAACTTAAAAATTAGGTTTAGTCAAAACATTCAGGCTTCAAAATACGTCAAAGACAGAAGACATCAGCAACCATTATACTCGGTTTTCAGCCATTTCATTAAGAGTTCATAATCACTGATTCCTATCATCGGATAGACCCAAGGCAAGAAGTCTACACCAACCAAACCAACAGTCAAGTACGCCATGCACTGGTTTCACCTATGGTCACCAGTACCCTTTTCTAACCTAACCCAACTTTCTGCTGTTAAGGAACTTATTTAGGTGCTATAATTATCGCATTTAAAGATATTGCATAGGGAGTAAATTTGTTGAAGTAATATATGTCAATTATTATCTGAAATAGAATATATGTGCACCGTGATGGTGAACCTCGTAGCTTAATCGCCGCATCGCAAAATGATCAATAGAATTCGGTCAACACTGAGGACTAGATGACATGAAATTGGTTGCTCTCCTGTGACTAATCAATGATTAATAACACTAATTGACCACCCAAATCTTGCTAATCGGAACAAAACTGAAAGAGTGACCAGCTTGGTAGATATCATTTGTTTGAACTAAAGAGCCACACTTTCACAATTACTGATAATACTCTTGAATATTTTTCATCATGTTCACAGTTATTTTTGTAGACTTCTAGAACTGTAAGTTTAAAACATTGAGTTCTGTTTGATTTCTATCTGTCAGTCAATGAGGTTATAAACCTGAACTAACTTAGGTGATCAGGACGTATACTTTGCATGTCTACCTATAACCTATCTTGATGAATACTAATGCTAGGTATGCTAACAGATTCGAAGATGAATGAGTTTCTAATCACCAATTCATCTAATTTAAGTAGCATAATTCCAATGTTATGAACAATCTGACTCTCTCGTGAGCCTAGTCCAAAGCAAATGTCTAGCGTTTAGACCATTTTGATCTGAATGGTGAGATATGTAGATTATTAAAGACGGTCCCCGAATATTTATATTATTCAGCATTATATTTTTCTATCATACAAGAGTTACAGTACTCGCTTCTTTGTGGGAATGAAACGGATTTTTTCAATGCGTACTGGTAGCTAACTCTTGTACAGTTTTTCGTAGGCTATTCATAAAGATCTTCATCCTCTGAAACTGAATAGACAGACGTTTAACGAAATATTAACAAAACAGGAATATGTATCTTGAATTACTGAGGCGATAGTCAACAACACAATAGCGACAGTAGCAAGGTATTCGAATCAACAGTTTGCATATAATATAAGTGTCAATCGGTTCATCATAGAATAATGATAAAATCATTCAAAAGAAGAAGTATTTCAAATAAGGATAGAAAAGACAACGAATATGATAAGTTGTATAAAAAAATTTTCAAAAAAGTAACTTGATCTTTATCTTACTCCTTGTGAACTATCTGTTCTAGTTGTTATTGTGATATGCACAAATAAGGTAGCCAGTGGAATGGGCTCTCCAGTATCACTTCGTAAACGAACATGACGAAAACCTGGAATGTATAATAGTAGTAATTTACTCTAAAAAGAGTAAAAAGTAACAATTCACAGCAACAAACGAATATAATTACAGTGTTCAATGTACAGTGTTGAATAGTATTCAATATATGCATGAGCAACCGATGTCAAGTATTATTTAACTTGATGAAACATGAAAAGCCAGTTGGTATGGTGACGTGCATGTTCCTCACTTATCAGAAGAGAGACTGACAAACTCATAGAGCTATTGGAAATGAAAAATGAAAAGTATAGAGGGGAAGAAGATTTTTGTACGCGAAGATTCGCCTATGGAATTGGTAGCCAAAAATTTCTACCATTCGGCAGCTGCAGACGGAGAGCTTTCTGCAGGCAGGTTAATTCTCTAGGAAAATTCAGGTTTATGAGTCGGAGAAGCTGAAGAGACAAACAGTGGTTGGCTTAATTCTGTCTACTGTGATAAATAATTATGAATAGCATATTGGTAAGTTTTCTGAGAAAAAGCATTGAATACAGTGCATGAGGAAATGCACTAAGTAGCACTACAACAACCTGGTGTGACAACCAATCATTCATGTTATACGCATAGTTGAACTACAGGACTTAGAGAACTGGGCTTTTTGGTAACATGTGAATTTAAGGCATAAGTTGCCCTGAAAACAAAATTCTTCTATAATTTATCTCGCATGGATTAAATTTCTACAAAAGTCTATCTGCTTACAGGTATTATTGAAATCAAGTACTATGGCGACGGTAGTAGTCAGTTAGAAACTTACGCTGACTATGCATAAAATATCAAACTTTTCATCCAGTGAACTTCATGCAAATTATGTCGTCATTTTACTTTCAAGATGCATTGTCTTTTTTCCCTTTGCTTCCCTACTTGCCTTCTGTATTTTCATCCAATGTTTCTAGATTCGTCCTCCGAACCTCCAACTGACTGAACATCAGGTTGGCATTCATCATGCACTGGCACCAACCGAAGAACCACTGAAAATCTGAGAGCAGTGAACAGATATTTCGTCCTTTTATGGGGCTTCTCAGCAGTGCGCATCCATGACCTCGTCATGGATCGAACCCAGGGCCTTCAGGTACCGCGGCCAGCGTGTTATAAATAAGCTGCCTAGTTGTAATCTAGTAGTTCACATTTATTCTTCTATCAGTTCACGATACAGAGCAGCTTCCATACAATGCTGTTGTTGAGTAACTGTTCTCACGTTTAACTTGGTTTGTCCCACTGGTCATTACTTCTCATTAGAACTTCAAGCACCTGATATCCAATCAAGCCACTAATGAACACTAGAGCAACTCATTTTGGAGGTTTTTTGGGGATTTATTTATGAGTGACATGCTTTGAGATGAGATTTTCAAAGTTCTGATAAGAATTTTTGATCCGTGGGGTGAATAAAATTGGATGTGAGGATAGTTACTCAAAGACGGTTTTGAATGGATATGGTACTTTCTCGAACTGAATGAAGTGAGAAATTTGGCAACATGCTGGCCATGAAACCTGAAGGTTTTGGGTTTGACCCCTGGCGAGATAATGGATGCGTAATGCTGAGAAATCTCATACAAGGATGAAACAGATGGCCAGTACTCCCACATTTCCAGTGTTCCTCCAATAGATGACAGTCCATGATGAATGCCAACCTGAAGTCAACAAATAAATCCTTACGAAGCCTCTAACTAAACGTCATTCGCACATACTCTTCCAGACAAAATAACACTGTATGCTACTATTATATAATCGTATATACAGAACACGCTGCATTGAAGGAGGTAAAAACTTATTTTATTTCTTAATGTGCGATTAAAGCTACCTTTAGTAATGATTCGTTGCTCAAAAGAAGAAATACAAATCTGTCTTGCTGAGTTCAGTCAGGTGTTCAGATCTGCGTTTCGGCACACTCTTTTGTCTTCTCAGCGGTATGTCATCTAAAATCACCAAGTGAATTATCACACCTAAATCCTGTGTCATTTATTTTACCTTTCGTTTGCATGGGACTGAAATAACATGTACCCTAACATAGATTCATTGAAAACTCACATTATTCAGGATGTTGCCGAAACTTGTCAGCATTGGGTAGTTTTTTGATGGCAAGCACTTTTCTTTCAATTGCTTGATTGCAACTACTTAGGTAAGTTGAACAACAAAGTAATCACAGCGAAATCTGAATGCTCTGAGGTCGATCCTGTCTAGCTTTACAAATACTTACTGCTGAGTCCTAAACTAGGATGGGACAACTATGCATTGTTCTCTTGTTTTTCACTACTCCATGACTGATATAAGTTTGAGATGTGAACTAGCTTCATATCGGGTATTCAGTTTCTCAATACAGAACTCAGCTAATTGACTGATATCGATCAGATTATTTTCTTCCTTTTGAAGGTTTGTTGAGAATATCTCTTATCTTTTTATGATGGTATGCTAACAAAGTCAACTGCTGCATCTGAGTTGTTCGTCCTTGCGAGTACTAACATGGTTCAATTATCAGAGGTAGGAACTATATTTACCACTATGCAGACGCAAATGATAGAGAGGCCATAGTGTGGCAACGTGGTACGATTCGTAAATTTCATAGCTGACCATGACCACTGATGTAGGCAACGTCAAAGGTAACTAAAATGATATAATGATATAAAGGAACCAAACGGTGAAGAAAGAAAACAGAAACAGAAAACACTGTGTGATTACATTCACTTGAACAGATAAGCAAAAAAAGCAGACTATAAGCAAACCAAACAGTTACATCAAACAGTTGTTTATGAAATCCGCTAACTGGGTGAGTTTATGTCTTAGTGTGTCTTAATGCTCTTTGAGATATTTGGGCCAAGTACTTGCTGCTTACAGCTTCAACAGAGGATAAATCTAAGTTGAACCTTGGTGAACTACATATATTAGTTACCTGTTAGTAGACAGTCAAATGGTACTGTGTTCTGTCCAATAAAATCGTCTCCAATTGCATGGTCATCTAATACAACAAAACGTACTAATGCTAAACTGCCCAGTTGAACACAAAATTCAAATGTATCTTCAAATATCGCATTATATCCAGATGCACTGCCAGCTGGAGCGGTGACAGTACGTTGTTCGGCACAGTCAACTGGGATTCCATGAATTTCTACAACAACATACGGTTCAATTGTATCACCTTTAGAAACAGATCCTCTTGGCTTTGGAAGTTGTTGTGCACTGACAATTTTTAATCGTAGTACCTAATTATTGAAAGTGTAAAAATATACAGAATAGATAAAAAGTAATCAGGTAGGTGGAAAAATTAATTTGGCAAATGAGTTTTTGAAACACTTCACTTCATTTTGAATGATTAGTTTACCGGTAAAAATAATGTCAAAGTAATGTGATGAAAAAATTCAGAAAGAGTATTGATTGATTATTGAAACTTAAGCCGGTAGAATCAAGCTACATTTTTGCTTTAGTCATCAAAGACCTTGTACAGCTTACAGTTATTAGGTCATTCATTCCCCATCATCATTCATTGTAACCGAATTTCTCTTCCTTGTTATGCTTTTCTCTATGTTAGTTAGCTGGTGGCGATCGACAGGAAGTCCTGGACCTAGGTTTCGTGCTTTGTGGCACTCGTCAGCAAGGCGTATCTGCAACCTCGACGGAACTGATGTCGTGCCTGAGATTCAAACCCGCATCACCCAGTGTTGTAGTCAGCGACTTTACCACTGGGCTGTTTAGGCCACGAATGACCTCCTGTAGGACTCGTCAGCTGACAAGTGCCAAAAAGCACGAAACCTAGGTACAGGGCTTCCTGCCGATCGCCTTTAACCAATTAACATCCACTAATGTGCACTGTGATACTGACCTTCCTAGCTTGGTTGCCACATTGCAAATATGATCGGTAGGATTCGGTCTGCACTCAGGACTAGGCAATATGAAATTGGTTACACTCCCGTGACCAATCAATACATGCTTTTCTCTATTATCAGTTCCGTTCGAATATCCTAAGTGAAGTTCTCGAGACCTATCAATAAAGAACAGAGTACTTGAGATTCTAAGGAATATTTAAATCACAGGAGGATAGTTTTACTAGTCTTGTATTCTTTAAGGTAAATGGTTCTGTCATTAGATTTCATCGTCTTTCTAAATGAAATCATCATCATAAATTTTTTTGCAAGGTTTATAATGATGATTCCTGCTAGAAATCCATTTAAATCCTATCCACTAAATCGTTTACACCAAAAAATCAGTACAGAGAACAGTGACACTGTTTTCTTTAAGAACACCGTTCATAGGTTTGATGATTGTTTCATGTTAGATAGTGTCATTGCCGCTTTAGACGTATAAGTAACTGTAATCGACAAATGCATGAAATTAGAGAGATGAAACTCTTCAGGTGACTTACAGCATGATATACATAGTCATATCCAGAGGAACTGACAGGTGACTATAATAAAGTCAAACTTTATAACTGTAAATAGGAAAATATTTTGCAACCATAGGTTCAGTTTACAGCCTAATTATACTCTGATCTTACTAAATTAGTTAACCTTAGGGACACCAGCACACGAATAGAACGTAGCATTTCAAGTTAATGGACTGATGAATTGTGATTAATGTGATGAATTCTTCTGTCGGAAACTAGTGGTAATATAGTTATGCGAACATAGAAACGAAGCTGTAATTTGGCCTAGAAAAGTCAATACTGCAAACAATCGCAAGATGGTATGTATCAAGTGGATTATAATTTTACGTATGCTGAACAACAGCTCAGTGTGAGCAGTGGGGATGACCAGTAATAGTGTCTAAATAGAAAAAGGTTGTCTACATATGAAATCGAATGGTGTTCAGTACCTGATCAGCTACCAAAGTGCGTGCAGACACCATGATATGAATTTGAGAGAGTAACCCATTCGATGGGAACATAATCCTGTGTAATGAGCCTTATAAACAAACCAACAAAATCTCCATCAGTTGCTAGAGTCAGACTTAAAAACAAGGATCCTGTAAACATTCCACTAAAGTCCAGTTTATTTTTACTTTTGTTGTGGAAGCATACGGTACAAATAAAAAAGGAATATGGTTAGGCATTTCATGAATAGCATAACCTACCTGAGGTGTAGTATCAGGTGGCCTCTCTGCAATATTTAACAAATTTGATTTATATGGTGTAAAAATGATGAAAATTGACGATACAAACTTGGTTTCAATACATAACCACAAGCTCCGTTCCGGGCAAAAAATCCTGTTGCCAAATCCATAACTAGACCAGCTGTCTGGTAGTTTAACGATACAATTTGTCCACCCCATGCCCATATGTCCAATGGATTCAGGTTACTGCTATCAGCTCGTGATGGACTTGGGCATATCTGGATCAGAGAATTACGCGTCAGTTGAACCAATTCTCCGGCACCAGTACCAATTGCTCTTGACGCTTCTGACTCGGACATGATAATGATGTAATATGGGTGCAAGTGTAATTTATCCTGGTTACAGTGTTTAGTAGCAGTAGTAGTAGTAGAAGTAGCATTACCGCTACTTCTGTTGTAGTCACTAGTGATATTCTTATCTTTTGAGTTGTTCTTGTCTTTTGATTCCGAATTATCACCTAACTTTAGTTTAGCTCTAGATTGATATTGAAAAGTTTTCAGTGTCGTCAATGATGAATTAGTTTCTGAATGTGCACCGCCAACAATAACAACTGGTGATGATGTTAACGATGCAGATGAGGTACTGTGTGGACTTCTGTGCGAATGGTCATTTTTCACGCTTCCTCTTCTAAATGATGAAGACGATAATGCATGCTTGAAGCCAAGTGATATACTAGCTAAATATTTAATAGTGTGGAGAGATAAAATAAATTAAGTTTGTATGAAATATGATCAAGATTTGACCAAATATTATAACAAATATTGGGTACTGATTAAAAGGTTGACATTAGATATAGTTTATATTTATAAAAGTCACTATGTGTTTGAAATGAAATAATTCCAACGTTTCACATGAAAGTCTAGTCCGAAGTTTTTCAGGGAAATAATCAAAATTAAAATATCAAGGATATATAAATGAATCTAAAGACGTGTATTTAATCTCCTTGTTCAATCCTCTTAGTATAGTCATTGTCTTTCTAAAATATGATAACTAATAATTCAGTGTGAAATTGTATCTCTTGTTGTATGGCAAATGTATGTATGTATGATGTGTGTGTGTGTGTGTGTGTGTGTTACCATCCTCTCCTTGATTGTAGATATTAGACAAAAAAGATCACAGGTGACATTATAGTCAACTGGTAGGTAAGTAAGTACAATGGAATGTATGAGGTGGATATGTATGTGACTTCAGTTGGTATGTGGGGCTGAGTAGTATTAACGAATTTTTCACTGATTTATCGGATTAGAGTGAAGATGAATGATGCCAATAATGGAAGCGACGATAATAATAATAACGAAGCAAACCAATCCAATGTGTTGTTGCCGGTGTAGAGATACCAAAGTTGAGGCCGATGTTGAATGCAAGCGCTAGAGTCACTCTTTCTGCTTACTAATTAATAATTGCCAAGAGGCAGCACTCCATCTGGTCTGTTCAAACTATCCGGATTCGCCCATATATGTATGACTTTTTTAATATGACCGTAAACCTTTTTGTAGAACCTTGGTTCCATCAAATTTAAGAGCGTTTGTCGATTTGTTTTTTAGCTTCATAAACTATGCTGAGGTTTTTGAAACCTCCTATAGGCATAGTTTATGCTCCTTTACTCTTACATTTACCTACCTGACTGTCTCCCCTACATATACTACGGTAAAATTTGCGCATTTGATTTCGTAAATGCAGTTCTGTTGATTATCTTTAGGTTCTACATCTTTAACTTTCATCAAGTTAGAGCGTAGGGTATTTCTTAAGTATTTCTTAAGTTGTTTGTTGAAATATACCAGAAGCTTATATACTACTAAACTGAATGTGCAAAAAGTAGCAGGAATGGTAATAGTACTCTAGGTTTGTGTATCAGAGTTTATTCTTTTATTAATATATGATTCTGAAGTACTCCAGTTAAGATTGTTTAATCGTAGTAGCTAGAACTGCAATGCTCACATGACTTCAAGAAGAATAAGAATGGAAATGGTAATTCATATTTTAACACAGTTTAATAATCTGAACTAGCTGCCAAACATTTCCACAAAACTGTCCAAACAAGCTCAAAAATAAAACACTAACTAACTCTGCTTATATTAGCACAGTCTTAGTAACATGTACATAGAACGGAGTGATCTAAACAATGGCTAAAGGAATATACAGATCGGAATCAGTGGTTTTGTGAGTTTGAGACACTTCTGTGTCAGAAATCATACCTTGTGATTTTGATTGCTGACATCACGGTAAGATAGTTGAAAAACTACTTAGTTGTGAGAACTGTCAATTTAAATCGTGTAATTCTTAATGGTTCCTGAATCAATCATCCCATTCAATGTACAGTTGTCCATCGAAGTCAGTTAACCGGATTCTGTCTGTCTAACTAACTTGGATCTGTAAGGTGGATTCATCAAGGTACACATCACGGCTGATGAAGCCGGCTCTCAATAGGTGAAACAGCCATGCGGTGTTTAAGTCATTCTGATCTGCTTGGTGAAATCTACATGTCAGCGTGACTTATTCCTGTCGATTCACTTTGTTCAGTGTTATGTTTCATTAGTTCTTACAGCGCAATAGTCTCTTAGCTATCTAAGTATAACGTCAGCGGAATACTCCTTTGCCTATCCAGTTGAACGGAAGTGAACGAAACTTCTAAATGGTGGAAATCACTTAAGTTGGATGGAGGCGGTCAGCAGGAAGTCGTGGACCTAGGTTTCGTGCTTGTTAGCACTCGTCAGCAAAGTGCATCTGCAACTTCGACGGAATAGATGCTCCGCCTGAGATTCAAACCGGCGAATTCAGTAAGCGCTTAGGACTAGACAACATAAAGTTGGTTACCCTCCAGTGACCAATCAATGTATGACGGAAATTATCTACAGATCTGAATGTTGATATACTGATAGATGCATTATTATATTACTAAATAAGAAACTGCTAATGGACTAACAACGTCGTCTAGTTATAACGCAAACTCCGAACATTGCGTGCTTTTGTCGTTGATATTGGAACCTATCTGTGTAATGACAGATGGAAATCCATACCCATCTCTTGATTTGCAGCAAGTTTTAATAAGTTTATGCATATCAATAACTTGCTATATGAGTTATATAGTTCCCGGCATTATTCTGTAAACTTTCAAAATCATCATTTTGATGGTGCTTGTGAACTGGTATCTGTCATGTTAAATCCATTATATAGGAATGGGAATTTTTATTATCTTCACTTTGATACACTGCATATGCCGAAAGTGGTATTTCCTTTGTCTCGTAACCGCGATCTGATGTTTTTGATGGAGTTAAACGACCTCCCCTCTGTACTATTCAGGACCCGTAAAATCTTGTAGATTTTTAGACATATATCAATGTGATGATGCCTGTAAACTATCTTCTCTCATGTTAATTACTAATGTGAGAATAAAGATTTATTTATTATTCAAACTGGCACTTTAAAATTTAGAACTTTAGATAACCTTCAGTTTATCATGCCACTGAAAATTCAGAACCCGATCTTAAAACAATGTCAGCTAAAAGACTCCTTGTGTCAAATCAACATTTCTACAAATATTTCTTGCTACATATTTTTCTTAGGTCATGAACGTCAAGGTAGAAGTAATACAAATTACTTGACGGTCGAGGAAACGGTGTGCAGATGTACAGATGATAGTAATCAATACTCGGTGTTAAAGCCAAGACATAACCTTATTCGATGTATACTAAAACTTGATTATTACAATAAACAAGATTATATGTATTTCCTAAACTTGATTATGATAAGCAACTAAAATTAAGAGAAGAAAAGATTACTTGAGTAACTTACTTCTAAGTGAATCACTATTCGGAATGTGCTCATAATTAGTAGTATCGAAGAAAAACATATCAGATAACTCTCTGATAATAGTAGTCTGCTGTTGACATGATGTCTGTAAAGGAAATAAGTGCGAAGAAATAAAATTGACTCTTATGCACTAAATCTTGAAGAATTTTTGAAAATCTACTTACAATCCACTTACTATTATTTTCTTAAAACTTGTCCCAATTATCATAGTTACTTTAAAAATGGATAATGGCGAACAGTAGAATCTAGAATGCGCGTTTCGTCCTGTTTCGGACTCATCAGCCGGATGAACCTGCATCTCAGTGATCAAAGTTATTTATACTAAGGCTCGAACTCGGGGACAATTGCTTAAAAAGTTATGGCGTTATTCACTAGACCACAGAGTCACGACAGCCATTTCTTGTGCGATGGGTATACTTTTCTTTGTTGCTTGTATTATTTCCTTCCACTGAAAAAATGACAAACTTCAAATCTTCAACCAAACCCCGTAAAACAATGCAGAATGACTAATCTATGCTGAAAAGGAATAATATCAGATATGATATTTTTAGCTAACAAGACGATTAATTGAGAGTAGAAACCAGTATCTCTAAACTAGCAATAGATTTTATCTTCGAGTGTCAGATTGCATTTTTGACTTATCAGCTACCAACTCTTAGTTACCATAATGATGTCTCTTGATAGTGGGACAGCGCACTACAGTAGTTGGATATTTTTATGTCTGAGAAGAGCATCTCTAAAATAAAGTGGTGAAATGTACTTTCATAGGTATTATGGATTATAATGCAATGTAACGAAATATAACATCATTTATCTCAACTTTGGCAGTTGACAATCAACTACTTTATCATAAGTGCGAAACCTACTCCACCTAACGGGATTTGGGCAGCCAGGTATCATCATTAGCCTACCTGAAAAAGGTATAGGTAACTGTCTACTGCAGGGACGTGCATGTGGTTGTTGATTTATAGTTCATTTATCAAATTTCATCCCAGCAGGTAAACTATTTTTCTGGGAGTACTAGAAATCTAAAAGTTACCTTTTTTTGGAGATTAATTCGAGCTGTAGTGATCACAGAGTGAAACTTGAGCATGATATGAAGATCAGACACCTCTCTGAATGACTTTATCAAAAGTTGTAAAGTAATTTGTTGTTACAAAACCAATACGTGAACACATTATTCTAATTTTTTGAAGTTGAAGCAGGAAATAAAGATCTTCTGAAATATGTTCATCTTACTAACCACCTGGAAGTTCACAAACACTAGGCGATGAGCTACAATTATTCTGTGAGGACTGTAATATTATTCGTTTACACACACCAATTAGATGAAATGCAATTTGAACGCATTACTAATTGGTTTAAAGTCGGATACCTGGAACAATAAGCCTAAGTTGAGATAAGCAAGGTCACACTACGTTACATAAGTCTCCTTACAAAATACATACTTATCTGAATACACAGCGAGCTTAGACTCCATTGAGGAACAGTAACACACTTTGGGAGAAGAGGCGTTTTCAAACGATTTACTGATGTATGAAATACTCATAGTGAAGTAATTAACACAATGTAACATCCCGTAAAATTTCAAAAGTAAGTTCCTTGAAACTTAATTATTTGAGAAATAAAACTTGTTTTCTTAACCTGTGAAAAACGTTTCCCTTCAGTTTACATAATATTTGCTATTTTCACTTGATTATTGTTATATTATGAGAATAGAAATGTTTAGTATATGAGACCAAGTAGCCTATAGACTCAGTCAGAAGTCATATAAATTTCACTTCGAATATCGCTCAAAAGGCTTCCAAAAAGATACAAATAAGGAAGCAGTTTATTGTCGAAATCAAAGAGTAGCATATATTCAAAAATTTTAGTTCAGTGTTCCCAAGAAATGCATTCAAAGTTTACATTGTACATCTGACTTACATGATAACATTCGTTTGAATTCATCTGGTTAGTTGTACAGTTTACTATAAGCTTTCAGCTAGTTGACTACACTCAGTAAATTGTATCTGAAACTTTGAGAAGGTCAAAATCCCCTCAAAGGGTCGTACTCACACAGTTCTAAGTTACAGCCTGACATCAATAAACCACTTAGAAGTCCTTAATTCACTTATCTGGGTATCTGTTGTGCGGGGATTTAGTTTCACTGACAAAATCAGGTATAATAAAAAGTTTCCATTATTTAAAATGCTATATTCTTTTGTCTTTCGTTAATTAAACGAAGGAAATCATTTCGAAAATTTTAAGAAAATGAAAACTGTCAAACACAAATGAGATAATCAAAGATAATACTAACATAGTTTCGACTTACAGCGTATGATGAAGTAAAGGCACGTCTTATGTTAGGTAAGCCACCATTCATCCATTTTTCTGATTCGTTGCCCACTATCGACGTCGTTGTTGTGCCCTTCGGTAGCCTTTTACCCTTCAGTAAAATTCTTCCTATAAGATCACGTGGTGATGGCCATCTTACATGTGAACCGTCTGATGCATAAACTGTTGATTCGTTTTTTAAATCAACAACTGTTAGACTATTTTTACGATAGGGTTTATTACCACCAGTAGTACTAGTAAAATTATTGGTGATGGTAGTGTATCTTGCTTTTTCCACTTGATCTTCCATTTCTAGTTGAGATTCACTTAAATTAAAAGTGAATTCTGAATTCGGTAGAATCAAACGATGACCAAGGCAACAACGTAGAAATGTCGCCAGTACACTCTGTTGGGCCTGTGATGCATAACATTCAATCGATATAATGACTGGATACCTACAGAAATACACATCCAACAAGTTATGGGATAGAATGAACACTGATGATGAAATCTTGAGTCAAAAAGGTTAAGATGCAATAAAATGACTGGATTACTATTTAGCTACCACACTGCCGTTTTTCTCTTTCATTATCATTTCGGAGGAGTTCAGTCTTAACTCATTTCTACCAATAGTACCGGCAGAAATAAGTTATCATCGGTTTTATGCAGAATCCTTTTTTCATTCATAATAAGGTAAACGAATGAGCAGAACTAGACCAATGTACCCGGACTCATTTGCTTGACAGCCATGTCCTGACCCCTTTAGTCATAAACTAGCCGGGAAAATCTATTCACTGATTTGAATGCCTTTTAGTCACAGTGATTTGAGTCGACGGAAGGGCCATTTACAAACAAAGAGCCGTAAATAACTCTTTCAGTCCTGATGAAGACTACTAATCATTGTAAATCTCTGACTCCACGCAGGATGACGTTTGGAATAATCAAGTTTCGCAGCGAATACACTGTCATTATGCTAATAATCTGGAATCCAGTGACCTATATCTTCGGATATAGTGAGATAACAGTCGAAATTTCATCCTCATATCCCGCTCGTTTGACCCCACTTGTCAGAACGCCTTATAACAGCGAAAGAAGATCAGACTAGAAGCAAATCATCATTTCATGTGAAATTTGTTGGGTCGAGACTGAGTTCTACTGTTAAAGCTGTGTATCTGTCTTCGTGTTATTCTTACTATTTTCGTAGTGCATATTACTCCATAAGTCAATGATCTAATTGGCAACATCTAAAAGTGTGAAGAAATACCAATCAATAAAACTGTTTAGATACAATCGTTTACTGTACACTTTATTTTATCAATTTTAGGCAAGATTTACTTTTGGAAGTCACTGATGTGATGGAAAACTTATGAATTTTTGTAATTGAGTGCTTCTTTACACCAAACGAAATATGATTCGTTCTGTATGCCAGAGGATTCACACTATCTACAGTCCTGACACTGGAAGATAAGCTTAATTTTCCCAAGAATGTTCTGATTTAAAAATAACATCCTGGGAGTTTCTCCGCAAAAACGATGAAAGAAAAACTAGGTAATCACTTCTCATAAAGTGAAGTTTAACAAAAATGCGTTAGCAGATATACTGAGGAACCGTCTAGTTGGCCGACAGAAGTTTCATGCTGCTAAACGTAGACTAATGTTCTCTACTTACACAACACTTCGACTATACATGAAGGATAAGCCAACCCCTTATCCATATCTATTTACGTTTATCGATTCGCTTACTCCTGTGGGGTAAGGCTGTGTCCAGTGTTCTGTTTATAAACACTTTTTTGGAAGTATACCAGCTTGGTTCCCCAAAGAAGAAAAGAGAGCACCTCACAGCTCAATTTTAGGACATTTAATCGATTATGACTATCCTGTTAATGCAAAAACTTCATTGTAATCTATACAGTTTTTCCGAACTAATAAGAGTTTATGCCTGAAACTACTTCAAATTGCGAATTAAAGGTAGTTAATACTTTGAAACCTGAAATTTGCATTCGATTTGTAATGGACATGATATATAGGAACATTTTACCCTAAAATCTTTCCTTTCACTTGCTAACTAGCGAACTGCATCTTCTTGCGTACCAAATTCTTCTGCCTTTAAAATTCTGATTTCTCACCATATTCACTAGCCCATTTAATCATATATATGTAAAGGTGGATTGTTTCCATTGTGTATTTTTACTTATAAATGGTGGAGGGTATTTTTAGCTCGGTATATGGATGTACAGACTGAGACGTTCTCTTGAAGAGACTTGCCTCTTGATGAAGTTCTCCCACTTTCGAAAAATGAGAGGCATTTGATGAAATGATGGTGAATATTTGTAGCTCAGAAGGATGATTTTGATGGCAGTCTATTTTCAGTGATGAATGGCTTAATCGCGTTGATGGCGTTGTTTTGTCTGAGCACAATTAAAACATCCAGCACCAACACTGAGTTGTTCTCTGAGCTGAGGTTAACGTATGTCTCAGTGTCATGCTAGATACAGTTATCAGTACATTAGTAATTCACAAGGAGCTGAAGTTTGCTAATTTGCTTGAGTTCAAGCCAGTTAGCCGTTCGCTTATTCAGACGTATATTTTCTATTTACTGGATTGCTTCAAATTATTGAACAGTCGTCTATTTTACATTTTCAAAATATATTGAGTAAAAGGAAAACGGGGTAAAGTAGAGAAGAGTTTCTACTTACTCTGAACGGGTAAATGCAAAATCATGAATTGTGTTTAATACAGCTTGTATTGGAATCCCAGGAGGTCGTGAATTTAATCGTCTGACAACTGGATGGCCATCATGGCCATCATAAACTTCAACTATTCAAAATAAAAAAAGATGGAGGAACACATAAAGTAATGATGAAGGTTATTTTTGAATTCAACAAAATTATTAACAAACTGAAAATTGGCGCTTTAAATGTTATACATAATCACTGATTTTTTACAACAGTAATCATTTGATAAAAGCAGACATTTATTGTTGAAAAATTCGAGCTAGTTATCAAGTCATAATTGCACAGTTCGTGAGGTAAAAGTCATCGATATTCTATCAGGGATACTGGTAATATTGATTCTATTAAAAACTTAGTAGTATTCAGTGGGGTTTCAACTAGTCAAAGCTTTATCAAAAAATAACCACAACGAAAGCTAATAACACCTTATACTTTGGAACTTATATCGCCAACTACTTCAGTTATAGGTTCCACTACCGTGATTTCCGAATTATAAATAGCTTTTTTCAAGAATACATAGCTGATAATATGAGAAAGTGCATTAGTTTAACTAATGTTTACTATACTGCTACAAAAAAGATTATAATGTTGCAGTTAGGTTAAGTAAATTAACATTACAGTGTACTGTGAAGAATGCTGAATAAAAGCATTCATGTAGGTATGGTGAATAGTGCCCACATCATTCCAATTACAGATACACACTGCTGGTGAGTATCAGCAAGCATAAAATCTGAAGTTTTTTCTTGTGCGTTAATAAGCAGAAATGAACGTATAAGTTAACCAAAACGTTAACAATATGTAAATTCCAGTTTTTACATAAATTTTTTTATATTGGTGTCACTTGTAGAATAGTAATTCGGAAATAATATATGTAAAATTAGAGATTTAGAAGGATCATTACGAATCAAATGGTTCATATATCTGCATTTGAAGTATAGTCAGCTTAAAAATTACATTTTGTTTCCTGTCATACACCTTTTTGACTACTACTCCGTGTATCAAACAACACGGAAGAGAAATAGTTGGTGAGGAAACTGTCAGTTCTTTCGTTATTTCTATTCATTCTGACAACTAGTTTAACCAGATTACTTCCAAAATAAACGTTTCATCGTCAGACCAGGAATACTTTTCAGCTCCTAATATTAACAGGCACACAACTGTTTGCTTCGGACACAGGTTTTGTGCTCGTTAACACTAGTCAAAAGGGCACACATAACTTTGAGTCATCTTATACTCAATTACAACTTTACACCTTCATGACTGAAGATCACAATCAAGGCCTTATACATTAAGTTGTATATACCACAAGTAACCTATGGGAATGAAGTGGATACTATGACCAGTCACAGTAGGATAATTAGTTTTACATCAGGCTGTAACCTGATAACAGAAAGTGATTTAATTTGGCTAATCAATTTATCTGAGACCCAGACATCTAATCGTACGTGCATCGGTGAATAGTAGTGACCGTTCGATGACGATATTTGAAGAGACAAGATAATAATGTACAGTTTGAGAAAAGTAGTCTGAGGGAGTAATCTCGCCAATTTTATTAATTCACTAGTTAATAGCGGGTCCTAAGCATGGATAAAGAGGGAAGGTTGGGCATAGGGCTACCAACTGTACCCCGAAAAACCAATCCAATCGCCGAAGAAACTTCGAAGCATAGACAAAATATTAAAAATAAAAACTAACTAATTACTCCCTGGAATCGGGGAGACGAAATGACGCCTTCGGGAAGCCAATTGGCCGATCAGGATCAGGTTCATGACAGCAAGATTTAACTCAAAAGGAAGGAAAGTATCAATCATACAATGCTAAGCATCTAAAAGTGATGCAGATGAAGAGAAGAAGGGAAAATTCTATAGACAACTGCAATCAGTAGTGGACAAGACCCAAAACCAGTTGGGGATATCAAAACTCTAATAGATGGGGTGATATGAATGTCCAACCGAGAGCAGACAACGCACGAAAGGAACTTATCATGAGTCGAGAGGCACTCGGTGAAATGAATGAGAACGGAAAACTGTTTGCAGATTTCCGCGCAATCAACGATATAGTGATTGGAGGCAGTGTGTACAAACACAAGGATATTCACAAAGCGACATGGATTTGATTTCACCAGACAGACAATACACTGAAAATCAGATCGACTTCATGTCAATGTGAAGAAAGTGGGGACGCAACCTACTGGAAACAAGATCAGATAAAGGAGGGGAGCAGATGCAGGTTCAAACCACTCACTACCTAGTTCGAGGAACCTACTTTCAAAAGGAAGTTGAAAGCCTCCAATTCAAGGAAGTTGGTGATAAACCACGCTTAAAGTCCAACACATAAAACAGAAACTGAAGGACGAAACTACACAGGATATCTTCATGTCAGCCAGCCATCAGGAAAAAAAGGAGACACTAAACAACACAGCTGAGAAAACCTGATCGGAAGAACACTGGAACGTTTTGAAAAAGACGTAAAACGAAACCTGTATAGCCGTGTTAAGAAGAGGCAAGACAAGGCATGGATCTCGAAGACTACATGGAATCTGATAGAGGAGGGAGAGGAAGATGGTGATGGTGAAGCAACAGATGAACCGGAGCAGTGGAGTGCAGAACAGAACAATCAAAGGAGAAATGAAAACAACCTATAAAATACTACACGGGAGAAAAAAGTAAAGAAGAGTGCACAGAAAGACAAAAGACACTTCTACGACACATTTGCAAGTGAAGCAGAACACGTTGCAGCCAGGAGAGAGAGAGAGACATGACAACATTGTATCAAATAACCAGGTTGCTATCTGAGAGGCAGGAGATCAACGCAGAAGAAACCAATAAAAGATGACGAAGGAAATCTAATCAACAACAAGGAGAAACAAAAGAAACAATGGGCTGACCACTTCAAAAAGCTCTTGAATCCACCACCACCTACAGCCACAGAACTACTTGTGAACACAAGCCCTCCGACGAAAGTAGAAGTACTGAGCGCCATAAAGCTACTGAAATGTTGGAAAGCTGCAGGACCAGATAGAATCCCGCTAGAAGCACTGAAAACAGACTCAGAGACAACAGCAGACATGCTCACACCACTACTGCAGAACGTTTGGAAGGAAAGGTTCCTGCTGATCGATTGGAAGAAGGACTACCTTATCAAACTTCCAAATAGGGGAGATATAAGTCTTTGCAAGAACTGGCGACGAATCACCCTCCTGCCAACACCAGGCAAAATACTATGCCGCATCATCCTGTAGAGACTAAAGGATGCTCTGGATTCAAAATTACGACCAGGACAGGCTCGATGGCTGGCTTCAGGAAGTACAAATCATGTGTGGATCAAACTGAAACGCCACACTATGCATCATCATAGAACAGAGCGTAGAATGACAGTCAACCCTCTACCTCAGCTTCATCGACTTTGAAAAGGCCTTTGATAGCGTCGACCGAGAAGTAATTTGACAGGCAGCTGATTCAGTACTACGGTTTCAGTGCCACAAACCTTTGTCAACCTCATTCAACAGCTATATGCTATGCTTTATGATGCCACACGACGAGTGATTCACAATGGAATGCTCAGTGATGTCTTTGAAGTGAAGACAGGAAGGAGTAAGACACGTTTGCCTACTATCATCATCCATCATTTTCCTGATTGTGGTCAACTGGACTGGATCATGCAACAGACAACTATGAGGAGGGAGAAAAGGGGCTTACGCCGGCTGGACCGATGAAAAGATTCCAGAAGAAGATTTGGATTTCACCGATGATCTATGTTTAAGGTCACACAAACTCGAAGATCTACAGGCAAAAACTAACATGTTGACAGAAGAGGTGGGGCAGCGAAGATGAGGCTTCAAGTGAACGTAGAGAAGACAGTGGTGATGATGATACCCAACCAACAACAACAGCAACAACAACAAACTCCAATCACCATGAACGGGAGAAACTTAAACGAAGTAACCTCTTTCACCTATCTAGGCAGTGTCGTTTCAACTACAGGCGGCGGCACAGATGAAGACGTCTAAGCCAGGATCGGGAAAGCAAGACAGGCTTTCATTAAACTGAAATCAGTGTGGAGGTCTACTGCACTCAGCATGAAGCGTGAAGAAGATTCGGATTTTCAACTCTAGTGTCAATCAACTCAGTACTTCTATGTAATGGTTGAGAGACTTGGCGTGTTACGAAAAGCATTTCGTACAAACTACACACATACATCAACAACTGCCACCCATGATCGATACTGAAGACTAGATAGCCAGAATAATAAGAATAAGTAAGACGGAACTCTGGCTGGCGACGAACCAATCAAGAACCCATCACCCAACAAATATGCAGAAGGAAGTGGAGATGGTTTGGGCGTACACTGAGAAGATCACTTGGGGACATCACGCACCAGGCCTTCGAGTGGAACTCAGAGAGGAAACGATGAGTTGGGCGTTTGATCAGCGGATGACATGGAGGAGATAGTGTGAAGAAGAAATGGAAGCTTGTGGGTGTTCGTGGTTCCAGGTTGAGAATACTGCAAAGAAGAGAGTGAAATTGTGACATACGAGTGAGGCCTTATGTTTCACTAGGAACCCAAAGGACAAATGATAATAATAGTAATAAAATCTGAGGGAATATATTTCCGCGATATGATGATTTTGTGATTCTGATTAATAATAATTTATTACACCGACAGTCTTCATAATAGACGATTTTAAAAGTGCATAGACATGATCATTCTACATTCTGTAGGTAACGTTACTTTTGGTTTAAGTTAGGATTTTGTTCTGAACTGCTCAACCTGTATTTTTCAAAACATGAATTGTACATCATTTAATTTAGATCTATAGAAACAAAGTAGACTGACAAATTCCTAGTTGATAGCTTTTTTAGGTTTGATTTTAATATGGAGCAGCTTGACCTCTTCTATTATATGGCCGTGAAGCATGATTATTTTAGGTTGAGAATATGAGGAGGCCTTGGGTGTACAACGACCTACGCCTTCGTAGCGTAGGCTAAACGTCGTGCAACCATTACGTCAATGATGCAGAAGTCAAACGTACAACCATAGGTAAGATTAGTTAGTTTAATAGGTTGTGAACTTTTTTTGACTCAGTGAGAAGGGACATATATTGCACATGCCTCTCCACCATCTAGCCTGACGTGTAGTTTTAGTCGAAGTAAGTGTTGGATGAAAAAGGTTAAAGACGGCTGAACTAAAACGTACTATTTGTCAGTGACTGACTGCTGGTGTGAGTTGTGTAGGGAAATGTAAACTTCTCAACTGGAGTGCAAGTTATAACCAAAATTCATGGTTATAGACTATAGGTGATATGGCTCAAAATATATTTCAGTGGTAGAGATGCTTTTAAACATTATCTAAATTCTGTTTATTTCATTTCATCATTGTTTCGCTTTCAGTTGTTTTCTATGACTTTTGTATGTCCGGTTGGGTTCATCATAGATTGACATCAGGTGGAGAAGTATTCGAAGCCTGAGAGGACTGGACAACTGTTTCCTACTGGTATGGGACACTTCACCAGTGCGCATGTAGTACCCCCTAATTCTCTTTATTTTTCATCTCTCTGCCTTATATCTTGGAGCCCTGATACAAATTTTGTTAATTTGAACCGTTTTACAGTAATGCTAAGTCCAATTCTGTTACTGAATGAAATAATTAGCAACGTGTTATATCCTAAATCTTCTGCTTAAAGAAGAGACAGTTTGTAATTCAAACTAACCAAAATTAGTGTTCTTGGTTGTGACATCAAGTGCATTAAGGTCGAGTTGTAAAAGAGATTAAGTGCTCTATTGACTGGAAAACATTTGATCATTACTAGACATTAAACATGGGTACGTAGAGCACTTGTTTCCCCTTCAAACAACCAAGATACTGGTAAACTGATGGCATAAAGAAATAAATATTCACTTTGTTTTTCTTTTCTCAATCTCACTTTTGATCGTAGGGGAAATAAACAATACCAAGGTTATTAGAGAAGTATAATGAACACTGTCTTTGAGTTTACAGGTTCATTACGAATCCTTGTATGACCAGTTCAAAATAATATAGTTCAATTTTCCAACACAACAGAAAACGAATGGTCTAACAAAAGATCTACGAGGAGGGAACCTGCTCACAGGTAAGTAAACAGGGAGCTGTAAAACATATCTGACTGAATAAAGTACTGTTTTCACTCTACGGACACTATTAAGCAGATTTTGCTAGACATATCATAATGGTCAGGTAGGACTTTTCTTCAAGGTATTGAGATAAGGTTAGCTTCAAAAGCCAAAGTGTCTAAGCTGGGTCTCAACAGCCTAAATAGGTGGGCTACTCAAGCCAAACATGTTGCTACTAGATACTTGACGGTAAAATGAAAGTGGGAAAATTTAAAGTTATGCGGTCAGATTTGGTCAGCATGGCTTGTGATAACCCACCGAAACATCTATAGTCTGTGTGACTTTAAAGGCTACTCTAGCAGCAACCAAAATAACCAATCAGATTTCTTTATTTTATGGTAATCTGCCTTTCTAGCCAAAATGCAGAAACCTAATTAGTTATTTCGATTTTCGCTAGGGTAGTCTTAAAGTCAAGCCTGCAAACGCCAAGGTGACTTCAGAGGCCATCCTAGCAACCCGTGAATAAACCAATCAAATTTCAGGCTTTCGACTAAGACGGTAGTTCCGGGCGACTTTAAAGGCCACCCTAGCAACGATCGAAACAACCAATTAGGTTTCTTCATTTTGCCTGGAAAGGCAGACTTTCATAAAATGTAGAGGTCTAATTAATTATTTAAATTGTTGCTAGGTGGACGTCAAAACCCCTTGACTTCAAAGGCTAATCCAGCAGCAAATGAGACAACTAATTGCGTTTCTTTATTCAACAAAAAATTTCTTTCCAGCTGGAACACTGAAACTTGGTTGGCTTTTTTATCAGTTGCTAGTGTGGCTTTTAAAGTCACTCAAAACTTCCACCACTGCCAGTTAAAAAAGAAAACTGAAAACGCTGAATTTTGTAAATTTTCATGCAACTAATGACAATTGAAATAAGAGACAAATTGACTTACGCTCAATATATCGACATCCTGAAAGGAGTGCCCTCTGATAACCCTCAATACTGCAGGGACCTGTGAGCTGATCTTCAAGCAGAAACCTAGGTGTTTTTTAGGATATCAAAAAAATAGTCAGGTAAGTTATAGGTAAGATGGAAAATAGTGATTTTCCCTGCTACGCGTTTACTGATCAAAGTTACTTTATTTCCAGATTAGATTAGTTTATTTGACAGAAAAAAAGGCAATATAGCATTTACTAGATGTGACATTCTTAACATTGTTTATTGCTCATATGCATATGAGTAATTATGAGTAATAATTTACGCTCGAAACATCATCTGGTAGGTAATACCATATTGGTGCGTGCTATATCAAACTAACTACTTAAATGTGAAGTTATACTCTGTCATAATGCCAAGGTTCTATCCTTGCAATAAATTCACTTAACGTATATTATATATAGCACATAGATCTACATTTATATTCATCATAATATATCTTGAGTCAGGACAACCTGTTCATAACAACAATTGAGATACACTGAAAAAGAGCCTCATGGCCTTCTGAGGTCACTGTCATCGTACACACACTTGCCATTGGTAATGTGCATTGCATTTATTTTTACCTGCATTTGTTGCAAGTGAGTTCATCATTGAGTTACAGAATTGACTTGTAAATGCTTCAGTGTCATGTTAGATAACTGTGGTAACATTCTATATATATCAATACAGTAAACTAAACAGTTAGACTGAGATCAAGTAAAATCGCTAGTGATAATACTCCATGAAAAATAGATTAACTTGTCTATCATGAAGGGGTTTTGATGATGACACCTCTTACTATATCAAAATATTAACCAACTAAAACGTGAACTCATAGAAAAATACTTGTCAATAGAACAATTTAGTTTGTAGACAAACATTCAGCGGGTTGAAAAAACCACTCTGACAACTTATTTTAATGGCCAACCAGGTTTATCTACTTTCTGCAAAACCACCTTGCTCGTCAAATTCGTAAATCTGACTGACTATTTCAGCAGGATTGACTGTGAATGTCACCCTAAAAACAACTAAAGTAACACATTAAACTTCTTTATCTTGTGAAAATTCGTCGAAACAAAGAAATCTAATTGGCTATTTCAGCAATTGGCAGAGTGGTCTCTGGGTTTGAAGGCGCCTTTGAAGACCACCCTAGCAACGATCGAAATAACCAATTAGATTTCTTCATTTCGGCTGGAAAGAGAGATTTTCACAAAATGGAAAAATCTGATTATCTATTTCAGTTGCTGCTAGGTTGGCCCTTAGAGTCACTCCGATTTTAAGCCCACTCTAGCAACTGCTGAAATAGCCAATCAGATTTCATAATTCTAGTTGAGAAAGTAGCTTTTGTAAGGAAAGAAATTAATTTGCTATCTCAGCTGTTGTTAGGGTGACCTATAGAGTTTCCTTTTAGTTGATTTATTAGTTTTATCGCATACTAGGGCAGTATTGTGTGGTAAATCTAAGAGATCAACATTCTACCACAATGCTCAAGTTTCACGGCGGAACTAACAGCACGTTAACTAAAGGTTGATCAAAGGTGGGTCTAATTAGATGCGTAACTGAAAATCATAACACGTTTAATGTAAATTTGATTGCTGGACTTTCGTAATTTTGTAAGAATGATGGTTGAATTTGAATTGAAACAATTGGTAGAAACGTATTTAAGTCTGTTTCCAACTCAGTTTTATTGGCTAGCTGATTGTAGTTGTAAACAGGAATCTTACTCCCTCTTATATACCAATCTGCAATAGTGATGACTCAATTCTACTGTAACTGTTTGAGAACAATAGGTGGAGAGAGTAATTATCATAACAATAACTTTATTAGATATGAACTATGAAATTAATATTCTCTGGATGCAACATCGTGGAGAAAAGATCTGACTGTAATATACACAACCACAAACATATATGTATCCAAAGTGCTAGGAAAAGTAAGATAATTGAGTCTCAAATATGCTACAGCTAGTACATTCACATATAAACACTGCCTGCCTAAAACTTCACTTATATTTGGAATAGATGTTTGGTAAAAGACGTTTCAGGAAGGATCAATAAAGATGCATTGTATTTAGGCAACTGCAAAACCTCTGACTACTGTGCTGTAGAGAGAAGAAATAAAAACTTGAAAATAAAGATTATAGATTTAAGTCTATCTTGATGGTAAAAAGACATTTATTATGCAACCTTTTGGTAAAAAAGAGAGTAGTGTGGATCAGTTCTACCTCTGTTTCCCCTGGACATTTCTTAACTTCGTCCGCATTCTAATAATGATTTTCGTTTATGAGTTTGAGTTCACGTATACAGCTATCGTTTTATTCACGGAAAATAACATAATGAATTAATTCTTTGTTTAAAATGAAAAGTAATCATTTTTTTGACATTTTGCTTATCTGATTATCATTACAGTGCCTAGCTTCAATGATGAATAAAAGAATTCAGGAAATACTTTAAAAATTCCCCGAAAAACTTACGTTTTATGTGAGGATGCAATGTAATAGTGTGTTATTGGCTGAGACATATCTTGGCATACTTGTAGGTGAGCTGGATTGAATATATCACATTCTTCGGATAATAATAATGATGTGAATCCTTGAAGTAACAAAAACATGTAGGAGTGCTAAAGCAAAAAAGTGTCCAATACACAACTGGGCTATTCAATCATTAAGGTTTAATCTTTTTGTTTAGAAAAAAAACTATTATTGTTATTATTATTTGTCCCTTGGGTTCCTAGTGGAACATAGTTCTTCAGTAGCATGTCTGCATTACACTTTCTTCTCTGAAAACTTTTGAACCTGGCTCCATGACAGCCCACAAGCTCTTATTCTTTCTCATATGATCTCCTCCATGTCACCCCCGCCTCAGAGGCCCAACTCGTCGTTTCCCCTCTGAGTTCCACTCGAAGGCCTGGTGCGTGATGTCTGCGAATGGTTTCCACAGTGTATGCTTAATACATCTCCATTTCCTTCTGCATATTTGTTGGGTGATGGGTTCTTGATTGGTTCGTCGCCAGTCAGAGTTTCGTCTTACTTATTCTTATTATTCTGGCTATCTAGTCTTCAGTATCGATCATGGGTGGCAGTTGTTGATGTATGTGTGTAGTTTGTACGAAATGCTTTTCGTAACACGCCAAGTCTCTCAACCATTACATAGAAGTACTGAGTTGATTGACACTAGAGTTGAAAATCCGAATCTTCTTCACGCTTCATACTGAGTGCAGTAGACCTCCACACTGATTTCAGTTTAATGAAAGCCTGTCTTGCTTTCCCGATCCTGGCTTAGACGTCTTCATCTGTGCCGCCGCCTGTAGTTGAAACGACACTGCCTAGATAGGTGAAAGAGGTTACTTCGTTTAAGTTTCTCCCGTTCATGGTGATTGGAGTTTGTTGTTGTTGCTGTTGTTGTTGGTTGGGTATCATCATCACCACTGTCTTCTCTACGTTCACTTGAAGCCTCATCTTCGCTGCCCCACCTCTTCTGTCAACATGTTAGTTTTTGCCTGTAGATCTTCGAGTTTGTGTGACCTTAAACATAGATCATCGGTGAAATCCAAATCTTCTTCTGGAATCTTTTCATCGGTCCAGCCGGCGTAAGCCCCTTTTCTCCCTCCTCATAGTTGTCTGTTGCATGATCCAGTCCAGTTGACCACAATCAGGAAAATGATGGATGATGATAGTAGGCAAACGTGTCTTACTCCTTCCTGTCTTCACTTCAAAGACATCACTGAGCATTCCATTGTGAATCACTCGTCGTGTGACATCATAAAGCATAGCATATAGCTGTTGAATGAGGTTGACAAAGGTTTGTGGCACTGAAACCGTAGTACTGAATCAGCTGCCTGTCAAATTACTTCTCGGTCGACGCTATCAAAGGCCTTTTCAAAGTCGATGAAGTTGAGGTAGAGGGTTGACTGTCATTCTACGCTCTGTTCTATGATGATGCATAGTGTGGCGTTTCAGTTCGATCCACACATGATTTGTACTTCCTGAAGCCAGCCATCGAGCCTGTCCTGGTCGTAATTTTGAATCCAGAGCATCCTTTAGTCTCTACAGGATGATGCGGCATAGTATTTTGCTTGGTGTTGGCAGGAGGGTGATTCCACGCCAGTTCTTGCAAAGACTTATGTCTCCCCTATGTGGAAGTTTGATAAGGTAGTCCTTCTTCCAATCGATCAGCAGGAACCTTTCCTTCCAAACGTTCTGCAGTAGTGGTGTGAGCATGTCTGCTGTTGTCTCTGAGTCTGTTTTCAGTGCTTCTGGCAGGATTCCATCTGGTCCTGCAGCTTTCCAACATTTCAGTAGCTTTATGGCGCTCAGGACTTCTACTTTCGTCGGAGGGCTTGTGTTCACAAGTAGTTCTGTGGCTGTAGGTGGTGATGGATTCAGGAGCTTTTTGAAGTGGTCAGCCCATTGTTTCGTTTGTTTCTCCTCTTTGGTAACTAGGTCTTCATCATCATCTTTTATTGGTTTCATGTGTGTTGATCTCTTCCCAGATAGCAACCTGGTTATTTGATACAATGTTATCAGGTTGTTTGATATAATGTTGTTAGGTCTCTGTCTCTCTTACCAGCAGCCTGTTCTGCTTCACTTGCAAATGTGTCGTAGAAGTGTCTTTTGTCTTTCTGTGCACTCTTCTTCACGCCTTTGTCCAGTGTATTATACCTTGTACTTGGTTCCTCTTGTTGTTGAGGATCCTTGTACTGGTTTATCTTCTGCTTCACCATCCTCCTCTCCCTGTTCTATGAACTTCCATGTGTTTATCGAGATCCATCCCTTATCTTCTTTCTTCTTCTTCCTTCCTAATACGGCTGTGTAGGTTTCTCTCCACATCTCTTTCAAACACTTCCAGTGTTCTTCCATACAGGTGTCTTCAGGGATGTTCCTCGATATCTCACATTTTGTCTTGATGGCTGACGTGAAGATTTCCTTTGTAGTTTCACCCTTCAGTTTCCGAGTGTTGTATTTGAACTGTGGTTTATCACCAACTTTCTTGAAAGCTTTTAACTTGATTTGGAAGGTTCCTTGCACTAGATAGTGGTCCCAGCCTACATCTGCTCCTCTTCTTCACCTTGTGTCAAGTGGGCTGACTGCGTCTCCACTTTCTTCACATTGACATGAAGTCGATCTTATTTTCGGTGTAGTGTGTCCTGGTGAAATCAATGTTGCTCGCTTTGTGGATATCCTTGTGCTTGAACACACTGCCTGACCTCCAATCACCAAATCGTTGAATGCACAGAATTATGCAAACAATTCTCCACTCTCGTTGATCACCTCACCGAGCGCTTCTTGACCTATGGTTAGTTGTCTTCCTGTGTTGTGTGCACCCAGTTCCCCATTCATGCCGCCCACCCATTAGAATTTTGATGTCACCAACTGGAGTGGAGTCTTGTCCAGTGCTGATTACAGTTGTCTGTAGAATTCCTCTTTCTTCTCTTGATCTGAATTCTTTGGAGGTGCACAGTGTAGCATTGTATGATTGTGACCTTCCTTCCTTTTGAGTTGAACCTTGCTGTCATGATCCTGATCCTGGAGGAGATTGGTTCCCAGGGCTTGAGAGCCTTCGATTCTGTTGGGGACATCATGATAGCCACTCCACAACGCAGTGTGCTGGTGGTTGTTGTCTGGGTGACAATATCGGAGTAGATTATTGATTCTCCAGTTGACAGTTTGGAGAGTCCACTCCCATTCCATCTGCTTTCACAAATTCCAAGCACTTCAATGCGATACCTTCTCATCTCATTTGCAATCTGGACTGCCTTGCTGGGTTCAGACATCGTGCGGACATTCCATGTGTCCACGTTTACTTTCGCTTTCATCTAGGGAGAGAAGACACATCGACCAGTTGGCTTCCCGATTGCTTTCACCAACCGGCATCATTTCGCTTCTCCGATTCCAGCGAGGAATAAATTTGTTTTTATTTTTTATATTTTATTTGTGCTTTGAAGTTTGTTTAGCGGTTAGATTTGTTTTACGGGGTAGGGCTGCAAGCCCTATGCCCAACCTTCCCTCTTTACCCGGGCTTAGGACCGGCTAGTAACTAGTGAACTAGTTAACCAGGCGAGGTTGTTATTTCCATAACACCCCGTTTATTCTCATACTCTGTCATAGGTTCATCCGGTATTACATAATCGCAATTTTATCTCCATTACCCTTCGTTCAGTTTCCTACTTTACCATACATTTATCCTGTATTACGTAATTGCATTTAATTTCATAACTCCCTGTCTATTTTTCCACTCTAAACACAAGTGTGTATCAATTAACTTCCATTCGTCATTCAACATATTTTGCCGCCTGACCGGAAGCATTCTACCTACTGTAACATATATTCACGAATGTACAGCTTAGTAAATAACTTTGTCGAAAAGAAGTGTTTCTTCGCTGAAATTACGTCTCGTCTTTTCTTAAGATATGAAGTCATTTTGTAACTCCCGGCAGAATGTAAATTCTACCCTATATTGAATTTAATTTCATTCTAATTTTTTTTTAGATAGGACTGACGTTCTACAAATCAGCTCCTTGTTTTTTTCTAGCGAGATAGGTGGTCATCACAAATCATTAGTCTGGTGGATATCTCATAGTATATAAAGCAATAAAGGTTCGTTTTGAATCTCAGTAGGAACATCAATATCTTTATGGTACAAAAGCACACAATTCATAAGTCTAAAACACGACAAAATGCAAATTCAAGATCTTTTTTTAAGCCAACTTCATATATTACCAAGGTGTAACGGAAGGTAATATAAAAGGATTCAACATACCAAAGTAAACAGACCAATTTTATCCTGGTGATCAAGTAAGAGTAAAATTTAATACACTATAAAGTTTTACATTGTTCATAATATGGAGATACAGTGAACTAACAATATTTCAGAATAAGACATGAATCAAAACCAGTTTATTTCTTTTACATATTTATTGATATTTGATTGATTGGTATTTATTTAGGATAATAGGAAAATTACATTTCCAAATAGGGTATTGTCACAGATACTCCTAAGTCCCAGAAAGGATGAAATGCGCATCTGCATTCCACCGCTAGTCACTGTCCATCACGACTATATAATTCAAACACAGACAAATCGATGCATTCCCGCAGGAGCCCATAAGCCAATAGAAACCGACTAGTTTGGTCCACTCAACGACGGGATAATACAAGCACCAACATTATAGCTATTCAGTATTTAAAAATAGTGTATGATAAGTTAACGTCTGATGTGTGTGTCTACATTGATTGGCCAATGGAAAGAAATCGATTTCATGTTGCCTAGTCCTAAGTAATGACCGAGTTCTATCGATCGTTTTGGAATGTGGCCACTATACTGGGAGAATCACCATTATCGTGCACTTTGATTGATGTTAGTTAGCTGGAAGCAATTGGCAGAAATCCCTGCTCAATAAAGGCCTCATGCTTGTTGCCACGTGTCTCCAACCCATAAAGAACTGCTACCCTTTGTGACATTCACCCAGTGCTACAAACAGAAATGTCACTAGTGAGATAATTGAGTAGTGATCCATCTTTAGTAGGAGTGCGTTAGATACATCGATTGGTCACTGGAGAGAAACCAATTTATGCTGCCTGGGTCTGAGTGTTGCAGTACAGGGTGATGTGAGTTCGAATCTCACATGATACATCATAGCCCTGAAGATTGAAGGCATATACTTGAAGAAAACTGCCAAAAGGCATGAGACCTTGGCTAAGCAATGCTCCTTCCTAATTACCCTCAAGGAACTAACAACAGCAGTTCCATTCGTCTAGTTAAGCATGTTTTAGTGATCACAATAAATACACATCGGTGCACATGTAAACTTTCAATAGAGTTCTGAAGCTCAGTCTGCTTCAAATGTCTCACTCTATTTTCTAAAAGGTTTGTGAACAGTATAATAATCTTATAGTCTATTTTTACGGTCGCATCTTTATTGAAATCTATAAACACATTTATAATTGGAAAGCAATCATCGATAACTGTCATTAGTGTTTACAATAAGTGGAACAGTGTTTTTCAAAGGTGTTTACAGTATAAACGGGTAAATAATAAAGAAAAACTTCGACACTTACCATCTATACCCATCAGATTGTATTGACGATTTTCATGGGATGGTTCAAATCGATTAATTAATGCTGTACACTTTTCTAAAGTTAAACCAGTTCTCTGCAAATTTAGGCAAAAAAAAATCAAAACGTTTCACCAGACCAGATAATTAAGATGGAAGTGGTATCATACGAACAACAAAATATGACTTCTGTTTAAGGCAGGGAAAGGAGATGCTTAACACATTAAGTCAAGAAACACCAGCTTCACTTTCACATTATTTGATAATGTATTTTGTAAATATTTGTTATACCGAACAAAAAATCGTAAAGGCAGAGGTGATTCGAAACGAAGATGGATTTGTTCATAAGTGTATTAGTTAGTAGTATACCATATGAAAAGCGTAGAAACATTTGTTATCCTCCGATTGAACCGTATGGATTTTTATATGGATGCAAACAGTTATCAGACACTATGCATTCGATGCCTACATTGTTTTATATTTATCTATAAGTGAGTAGTTAACATGATGTTCGTGTACAAGTGAGTATTGCTGCGCATGCCTACCTACCCCCTACCTAGAAATGCAATACTAAGGAAAGTTGGATTTGGTTGGGAGAAAGTTTGGGGTGACCTGGCGACGATCTGGAACCAGTGCCTGAAGTCTGACTGTTGATTTGAGTCAGGTAGGATGGCGTAGACTATCTAAGTGGGGTCTGTGAGACGACAGGAATTAATGGTCGAAGACTGTTGGCAAAGTGGTTCTTATGGCGCAGACGCTTCCACTCTCTGACGCCTCCTAAAGTTTAAATGTTTTGACTAACCCTAATTTAAAGGTATCTCTCCTCATATGTACCTTTGTTTACATTGATATCAATCTTTCCTATCAACAACTTCTTTGCATACCAATGTGAAGTATGGTAACTTGAACCGATGCACTTGTGTGTGACATTCCTCATTGAATTTGTCTGTCTGTCATCTCTTTCGTTAATATGTTGTATGGCTGTATTCGCAATTCTGAAGAAAATTCTTTTTCAAATAGTTCTATTTATGGGTTCTACCTGAAGTAACGAAATAATAGAGAGGTAAACTAACAGAAAGACATTTATTCTCTCTTAAACCCCCTGAGTTGACCATACCTTTTTGACGATGACTGTTTGACCTGCTTCCACTACTACACTAGGACCTCAAAACGTGAAATTTACTTGACTCATTAGTTTGTGATCGACATCGTTACAATAACACCCTCAGAGAGGACTAACACAACAACACTACTCTCAAGAGTTTGAATAATCCTTTATACCAAAAGTGATATTGCCTTTCTCAGTAACAAACATGGGTGCATTTAAGACTTCTTTCTGATAGACTAACAATTTTAATATCATCTCCAACTGAATCAAAACTTATCCTGCCGTTATCTATACGTCACAGTCAGCATATGTTAACGATATTTTAAAACATTTACCGTTATCTATTCGTTGTATGGGTTAAAGTCTTTGCTTTTGGACGTTTCATCACCAAAGTAGGTGACTTCAATCAACACCAACTTCATAAATTAGTAAGTCTCGATGAGGTCACCTACCCTGCTGATGAAACGTCCAAAAGCAAACGTCAAGGCTTGGAGAAAACTAAACAAATTATCATCCTCATCTTGAGCTATAAATCTTTCTAAATGTTGTGGTTTTAAATAAATCTTTATGATTCAAGTATTCTATAATATTTCATATATGAAAATCTACAGTAATTGTGTTAGGAGTTAAAAGCGTTTCTTTTTTACTGCAGTTGTATACCAAATACCTATGTGGAGTTAGTTACCTTGGCTCTGACTGGTTACTTTAAGGGTGACAAACAAGCACAGCTGCGCCATGTAATTGCTATGGTAAGGTCATGCATCCCGGGCCTCATTCAGAGCCATCTAAGATAGAAGAAAACAGTCTTTAGAACTATGACTCGTTTTTCAAAAAATAATGCCTGTCAGTGGTTTATTCTTTGGTTCTGATATCTAGACATCATGTAAGTATATCAGTCCATATGTTGAAACCAACTGATTGTTATCAAAATCCTGCTGTTACTCAAGTTTCTGTTTAGTCTACAGTATTGAATATATCGTCCAAAGCTCTCTTTAAAAAGTTGTTTACTTGCTAGCTTCATCAGGTGATACTTACTCCTTGTTCACTTTCAAAAAAGTTCTTCAGATCTTCCGCAGTTAAGTGTTCTGCTCCACTGGAATACCTGAAGGGTAAAACGACAGGATAATAAGAAGTGAGTTCAGATTTAAAAATAGTAAAATGCAGTGCTAATTCTTAAAGAAATATTTGATTAAAAATATAGCTAAAGAGTGAATGAAAATATCTGTAATCTCTTTGCAACCCTCATTACAAGTGGTTTTGATTAAACATAATGGGGTAATTTCCATTAAGTTTCTGAGAATCGAAGTACTTCATAATCTGTTTCACTTGCTCGCTTTAATCTTTATTATTTGTGTTTTCCACAGCAACTAACATTGATTGAATAGTATTAGATAATCTGATGCTAATTGGTTCATATTAATGCTTAAAATAACAATGTTTATTAGGCAGTGTATTCTTATATTTGTATTTTGGTCGTTACTGAAGTTATACTTGAGTCTCCTAACAAAAGTTATTCTGCACAATGTAATGAGTAGTCAGTCACTAGTTTTTTTCTTATTGTTCAGATAAATTGTTTGTGACATGATTTACCTAGAAAGTTAGTGTGATTGTGATAAGTCAACTATTCCATACCAGTCATTCATACCACAGCCTAGGAATAACCATTAGGTACCGTAGTGAAACCATCATCTCAAAAAACAGCTTTGATAGAACAAAATTACTTAGATTTGATTAAGTATCTCGTGAAAAAGATGTAGATAAGCTTTAATTCCATGGTTTTTATAGCATCTTTTGCAGTTATTCGTCCATTTTAGCTGCTCAGTTTTAAGTTGAACTGACTGAGCTGGTTTTTTCAGTACATGGCTTTCATCAACTTGGTTTCAAAGAGTAGACGCAATAGTTTATTACTCAGATAAATATTATTTAAAAGTAGTGTTTCCATCATGGATTGACGTCAGCTGCTAAACCACTGAAAACCTGTGAGAAATTAGATAGCTGTCTCATTCCGTTTCACGAACCGCTGACGGTACACATCTAAAACCCCTCAGAGGATTCAGACCAGGATGGTCAGATTCGAAGATTGGTATGCTGCCACTTAGTCATCGGGTTTTAGTTCATCCTTGACCTATCTCCGAGTTCTGTCACTTAACGACATATCACGATCATTATCTCACATCATCAGTGGCCATACGTTTTCACTCATGATTTGATAGGGGTAGAAAAATGTGGACCAATGGATTCTAACTTAGTGCCTTAATGGTAGCGTGATAGCCACTAGATCTGGAAGTCCCGCTCTCACTTCTCTCGAATTTTGAAGAATTTACCAAAAGCAGCCAAATATCCTGAGTTCACTAAGTGTTCTGTTACACAGTTGAGGATGCCCTTCCGTACTCCCCTTATTGAGTGAAGGAGGGTGATCAGCTATGGAGAGATGTCTCAGCACCATTCCTTTCCAGTGGTTTGATCGCATCTTGCACAGAGTTTTGCAGGACGTATTCAGCCACTCGAAATGAGTAAGGCTGAGAAACCTCCGATAGCTGATCGCTGTCCTCCATTCAACTAGGTTAGAATTGAAATGCATCCTCTGCTGTGTAACAGAACATATTGAACTCAAGATATTTGGCAACTTATGATAATTTCTTCAAAATTTTTCTCGAATTCTTGGATACACCTTGCTAAGACATGGTAAAATATGACGAAACAGCTGTCCATTCTTTCTCGGTTTTCAATAGCTCTCCAGTTGATAGCATTCGATGATGAAAACTAATTGAAATCTATCAGCATTTATAAAATCCTAAATGTAATCAAATTAGTTTAAACAACTTACTGTTGAGAACTATATGCTGGATAAAGTTCCCTTTGTTGGTTCGCATAAGAAATATTCAAAAGTCCGATATAAAAATATACTGAAAATCGAATGTGTTATGTAGTCTGCGTATAGGCACATGATAAAGTTGTTGCGAGAAATTTATGAGAAATGTTTAGTGATGTAAAAGTAAAACTTGGGCACTGTAGTGTTATCTAATTACGTATTAGTTTGGTTGTCATGTATTTCACACACTGGCAGAATAGTGTTTACTGAATGCTATTTTGCTATGCGAAACATTTAACAAACAATCTAACTTAGTGGAATGTTATTGCCTTATATCTTTGGATATGAAAATGTTTGCTTCTTGACTTTTTATCTGACAAATATGTTTACAAGAAATTTACAGAAATATGATACTCGTAAAAGTACTCAAAAACTACTTTCAGTAGTTAATATGTAGATTCACAACTGTAAAACCCTGACTGTGATGAATCCAACTGCTTTCTTGTGTTTTACAAAACCCTTTAGTTATTAGTTTCAGTGTTTAAAAATAGTTTCAAGTGCAATTTAAAAAGTTCATTAACTGTTGGAAAAATCAGGTACCATGAAGTCACTAAGCATATGCTTATCTACCTTAGTTAAGTGAAACCAGTTTACGCCGAATTTTTTCATGGTATACTTAACAGTAATCATAATGTTAGCGATCATTCGAGGAGTCTGTGAAAGGGTGGCCTATGTCAACTTGTACCAGTTGAGAATATTGTTATTAACAATGAGTTATAAAAACTTCCTGAAAATGTTCATATATCCGGAACTCTACTAACAACTTAGCTATAAGCAATTTCTAATAAATAAAAAGAACGGAATGAGTTTCTCGGAGAATGACTTAATCATTTAACTTGAATTTGTCAGTCATTTTAAAAGTTGAATTGTACACACAAAGACACAATCTGGCACGTTTTTATTTTTGTATAATTCTTAAGAGAGCCAGTCAAGGCAATATTTCTTCGAGGTAATAAATGTACAGAAGGATGCTTCATGTCATTACTTGTAATTCCTCACATCGTTGATTGGACAGAACTGATATATCTCTGTTTGGATATAGCCCCCTACGTGTATGCCTTGATATTGCCTGCAGTTTCAGTTTAGCATTAATGATAGATAGCGGCTAGCACTGGCACCCAGAATGCACGTCTCGTCTTACTTGTGACTCATAAGTTGGTGAATCTGCCTCCAAGTGATGTTGTTCTCATAGAGACTCGAATTCAGGAGGAAACATGCATCTTGGATTACACTGCTAGTTCTTGTAGATGTTATTAGGAAGATATTCCAGTTATTTTATTCGTTTTTACATATAAAATGCGTGAATGATTATAATGTGGTACAGTGAAGTGATATAATAAAATCTTAACACAGATTACATTGTGAAACTTACCTTACAAGAATGTAATAAATTTCTTGTCTAGTTGCAACTTTCTTAAAAAAATTTACAAAGTCATCTCTGGTTATTCGACCTTTATGATCTCTGAGTTTACTTTCCATTTCCTAAAAAAGTTAGAAAAACTTTAGCCATAAACATATTTATTGGAAGAAAAGAGCAGAAATGTATAATCTGACTAACTCATAATTGCAATATCTTACGGCAGAATTCATCGTTTAAATGTATGTACAAAGACAGTTGCTAAAACTCTATGAAGATCACTGACTGACGACAGAATAGGATATTTTCAACTGTAGAGGTAATTTATGTCTTCTTTAAAGCAATGAGGATAACTAACACAATACCACTATGAAGGATAATATTACTACTAAACAATCTGAATTTCATAAACTTAACGGAAGAAACCTAAAGGAAGTAGTATCTTTCACCTACCCACCTACCTAGGCAGCATCGTTTCAACTACAGGCGGCACAGACGATGATGTCAAAGCAGCCAGGATCGGAAAGACAGCAAGACAGGCTTTCATTAACCTGAAATCATTGTGGAGATCTACTGCACTCAGCACAAAGAACAAGATCCAGATTTTCAAAACTAATGTTACCAAAAGCATTTCCTACAAACTACACACATACATCAACAACTGCCACCCATGATGGATACTGAAGATCAGATGGCAGAATAATAAGAATAAGCAACAAGCAACTCTGGCTGGCGAAGAACCGATCAAGAACCTATCACCCAATAAATATGCAGAAGGAAGTGGAGATGGACTAAGCATACACTGTGAAAACCATTCGGAGACATCACGCGCCAGGCCCTCGAGTGGAACCCGTATGGGAAACGATGAGTTGGGCGTCTGAAGCGGGGGTGACATGGAGGAGATCATGTGAGGAAGAATAAGAGCTTGTGGGCATTGGTGGTGCGAGGTTCAAAAGACTGCAGAGAAGAGAGTGTAGTGGAGACGTGCTACTGAATCCTCATGTTTCACTAGGAACCCAAGGGAAGAATAATAATAATAAATAAGTTGGTGAGTATTGAGTAGACAGGCAAGAACATCATTTAAGAAACATTTCTTTTTCTGCTAGTCAGCTTATTTGAGTGAATGTTTACTTGTACGCTTACATGGCCTAGTATATTATAGCATTTTGTTGTGAAAACGTAGAACGGTTATGGAATTCAGTGAATAAATTTATCACTTATAATTGTTCAAGATAGTTTGGTTAAATAGAATATACACTGATTGGCCTTGGGAGAGCGATCAGTTTCATGTTGTCTAGTCCTGTGTACTGACCGAATCCCATAGATCATTTTTGCAATGTGTCTCCAGTCTAGGAGGCTTAGCATCAAGGTGCACAATGACCGGCGTTAGTCGGTTGGAGGCAATCGGCAAGAAGTCCTTGACCTAGGTTTCGTTCACCGGCAAGGCTTATCCGTAACCTCGACGGAACTGATGTTACGCCTGAGATTCGAACCCGCATCACTCATTGTTGTAGTCGGTGACATTAAAACTGAGCTGTTCGGGCCTCTACTGACCTATAGGACTAGATTAGGTACACTGACTGGTCACGGGATAGCGACCACATTCAACGAACGATAATCGCATTTTACTTAACTCTCCTGTAATACTGAATAATACTACTAGAAAGTTTTGATCAGACTATCCAGAGCCTTTTTTTAAAGTATCTACAAGCCAATATTGTAAGATATGAGATACCGTTTGTTTTTACGATCATATGACGTTAACAGATGTAGGCTGATGTGAATCAGAAGAGCTTGCTGTTCAGGCTGGCGGGGTTTATAAATTATAACTACATTTTGATTGGACGACTTAAAAAAAACACCCTAGCAACAACTGAAATAACCAATCAAACTTCTCTATTTTATGAAAACCTGCCTTTTAGCTGACATGAAACCTAATTAGTTAGTTCTATCGTTGCTAGGGTGATCTTTAAAGTCACCTCATTCCTATACTATATGAGAAACTACATTCCGAGTCAAAATTCTGAAATTTGATTGGTTTACTCACAAGTTGCTAGGATGGCCTTTATAGTCGCCCGAAAAGCTACTTAAACCAGTTTTAAATTTTGACCTGATTGATAAATTTTCGACACAGTGTCCTAATTTTTCCTAAAAATAAATTTGTTTCGTAGTATTGTATGCACTTGAACAACGTCATGGTTAGACAACGATTATATTATCATTATTTGTCTTTTGGGTTTCTAGTGGAACATTCGCCTTCAGTAGCAGGCAACATTTCACAATCTTCTCTGCGGTCTTTTAAACCTGGCTTCACGAATGCCCACAAGCTTTCATTTTTTCTTCACACCGTCTTATCTATGTCGCCCTCAGGTCGGATGCCAAACTCTCCGTTTCCCCTTTGGGTTACACTCGACGACCAGGCCTGACAAGTGATATTCTCAAATGGTCTTCTCAGTGTACGCTCAATCCATCTCCACTTTCTTCTGCATATTTGATTTTCGTAACGCGCCAAGTCTCTCAAATGTACAAAACACTGACTTGACATTAGTGTTCAAAATCCGTATCTTACTATTTGTGCTGAGTGAAGCAGATCTATACCTTGATTTCCGATCTTGGCTTTGATGTCCTCATATGTGGCATCACCAACTCCTGTAGTTGAAACGATGCTGCCTAGACAGATAGGTGAAAGAGACAACTTCCTTTAGATTTCTCCCGTTGGTGGTGATTGGTGCTTGTTGTTGCTGATGGTTTGGCATCTTCATCACCTTTGTCTTCTCTACGTTCACCTGAAGGGAGTCCCGTTTTCGCTGCCTCTTCTTCCAACTTGTTGGTTTTTGCCTGTAGATCTTAGAGCTTGTGCGACAAGACATTAGACATAAATCATCATCGGCAAAATCCAAATCTTCTAGGGTCTTTCCATGAGTCCAACCAGCGTATGCTAATCTTCTCACAGCTCCTCACAGTTTCTTGCATGACCCAATCTAGTCCAGTTTAGTCGAACACAATCGAGAAGATGATCCGTGGTGATACTTACTCCTTACTCCTTCCTGTCTTCACTTCAAAGGCGTCACTGAGCTTTCCACCGTGAATCACCTGGCTGGCATGTAGTATCATATAGAACAGAATATTGCTGTTGAATGACGTTGATAAAGGTTTGTGGCACTAAAACTGTAGTGTTGAAGCAGTTGCCAAATTACTTCTCGATCGACGCTATCGAAGGCCTTTTCAAAGTCGATGAAGTTGAGTTAAAGACCACGTTGACTGCCATTCTATCCTCTGTTCTATGATAATGCGTATCGTAGAGTTGCAATTTGATCGGCACATGATTTATTCTTCTCGAAGCCAGCCAGCCAGCCAGCCAGCCAGCCAGCCAGCCAGCCAGCCAGCCAGCCAGCCAGCCAGCCAGCCAGCCAGCCAGCCAGCCAGCCAGCCAGCCAGCCAGCCAGCCAGCCAGCCAGCCAGCCAGCCAGCCAGCCAGCCAGCCAGCCAGCCAGCCAGCCAGCCAGCCAGCCAGCCAGCCAGCCAGCCAGCCAGCCAGCCAGCCAGCCAGCCAGCCAGCCAGCAAATTGTTCCGGTGTTAATTTTGAATCCAGAGTATCCTTTAGTCTCTCTACTTTAGTCACACTACTTTCGATGTCAAAAGTAGTGTGATTACATTGATATGATTATGAGCAATAATTTATGCTCGAAGCGTCATCAAGTGAATAGTACTAAATCACTGTGTTATAAGTCAAATAAAAAAATCTAATAACTTCCTTTAGTTATTCAGATACCTTGATAATAAGTTGTCAGCCATAGGCCAGACACTTTTGAATACGTGTGAATGCTCGTGTTCCACGAGCATTCGTGGCTAAATGGAACATTTCCACTTCGAAGGCAAGAAATTACTTGAATGTAAGGTTTGTACTTTTAGGTACTTATTGGTGATGAACTTCTATTGACTAAAAAAGGATACAAATAAGTGAACGACATTCATGTGCAGTTTGCATCAGCTTATTTTATAAAAAAGTGTTTTACAAGCATCATATATGCCAAGGTTGTAAGTCCGGTCATATTGTCACAATGAGGATTGGAACAACAGAATATATACATTTTGATTACCACATCTAGAAGTAGGAAAGAAAATGTTAACTCAGCAGAGAATGGGAAAAGTAATATTGAATGGTGGCTAACAATGAGGTCCAACATGGAGTTTTCATTCAATTTGGGATTCGTCAGCCGGATTTGCCTGTTTCCCAGTTACTGATGTTGTTCCCACAAAGGCTGTACCCCAAAACTGATCATCTCGATTAATCAACAGTGGAAAGACTAACAGGCATAACATAAAAACTATTCCCGTTACACAAGGAGTGGCTATCGTGACTCATTGGCTTAGTGGATAACGCTCTAGCGTCTGAAACGATCTATCCTCAGCTTGAGATAGTGGAAACAATATCATTAACTGCTGTACACGTATATTTAACTGACGAGCTTCAAACAGGACGAAACGAGCATCTTGGATCCCACTATCCATCATTACTATGAAACTGAAATTAAAGCAAAACCAAGGCATCCGTAGCATTGAGGTCAATCAGTTCGGTCTAGCGAACGGTGGGAAATTGCAAGCAGTAACGCAGAGGATGCAAATGTTTTATAAGAGATAAGTTTTAAGTGACCCTGAACTAACATTTAGGAAGAGAATATTGGAGCTTTCCGAGAAGTCCAAGGTAAAACGACTTGGGGGATGCAAGTATTTTCTTTGTGCACATAGTAAGAGAACTAAGACCACAGGTAATTAGGTGTGTGGGACACCACTCGGTTACTGAAAACCCTTCCAAGATGCTAAGTTCTTAAAAAAACATGGTACTAAGAAACGTTTTGGGTTTTTGTAACCTTTGAGTGTTGATTTACTCAACTGACATGTTCAGTCTCAACTGATATATATATATATATATATATATATATATATATATATATATATATATATATATATATATATATTTGGATGGAAACGACTGTCACTGTAAATACGACAGTTTGCGAAAACAGATTACGCATTCTGGATTCCAGTCTAGCCGACATCTCATAGGTTAACTAGATTGATCAAACAAAAGTGCTGAGTAAAGTTCAAGAGGTATGGAAAAGT